CAACTAGTCACCCTGACACCCTAACCAGTCATCCTGATACCCCAACCAGTCACCCTGACATCCCAACCAGTGACCCTGATATCCCAACCAGTTATCCTCACACCCCAACCAGTCACCCTAATATCCCAACCAGTCACCCTGACATCCCAACTAGTCACCCTGACACCCATACCAGTCATCCTGATATCTAAAACCAGTCAACCTGACATCCCAACCAGTCACTCTGACATTATGACATCCCAACCAGTCATCTTGACAAGTCATCTTGACAAGTCACCCTGACACCCCAACCAGTCACCCTGACATCCCAACCAGTCACCCCCACATACCAATTAGTCATCTTGACATACCAACCAGTCATGTTGACATCCCAACCAGTAACCCTGATATGCCAACCAGTCACTCTGAAATACCAATCAGTCAACTAGATACCCCAACCAGTCACCCTGATATCCCAACTAGTCACCCTGACACCCTAACCAGTCACTCTAATATCCCAACCAGTCACCCTGACACCCCAACCAGTCATCCTGATATCCAAAACCAGTCATCCGGACATCCCAACTAGTCACCCTGACACCCCAACCAGTCACTCTGACATTATGACATCCCAACCAGTCACCCTGCCATACCAACTAGTCATCTTGACATCCCAACCAGTCACCTCCACATACCAACTAGTCATCTTGACATACCAACCAGTCACCCTGATATGCCAACCAGTCACCCTTATATCCCAACCAGTCAACTAGATACCCCAACCAGTCACCCTGATATCTTAACTAGTCAACCATACACCCTAACCAGTCATCCTGATACCCCAACCAGTCACCCTGACATCCAAACCAGTGACCCTGATATCCCAACCAGTCATCCTGACATCCCAACCAGTCATCCTGATATCCAAAACCAGTCATCCTGATACCCCAACCAGTCACCCTGACATCCAAACCAGTGACCCTGATATCCCAACCAGTCATCCTGACATCCCAACCAGTCATCCTGATATCCAAAACCAGTCATCCTGATACCCCAACCAGTCACCCTGACATCCAAACCAGTGACCCTGATATCCCAACCAGTCATTCTGACACCCCAACCAGTCACCCAGGTACTCCAACCAGTCACCCTGAAATCCGAACCAGTCATCCTGACACCCCAACCAGTGACCCTGACATCCCAACCAGTCATCCTGACACCCCAACCATTCACCCAGATACTCCAACCAGTCACCCTGAAATCCGAATCAGTCATCCTGACACTCCAACCAGTCACCCTGACATCCCAACTTGTCATCCTGACATCCCAACCAGCCACCCTGACATCCCAACTAGTCATCCTGACATCCCAACCAATCATCTTAACATCCCAACCAGTAACCCTGATACCCCAACCAGTCACCCTAATATCCCAACCAGTCACCCTGACATCCCAACAAGTCACCCTGACACCCCAACCAGTCACCCTGATATCCAAAACTAGTCACCCTGACACCCCAACCAGTCATCCTGATTTCCCAAACTAGTCACCCTGACACCCCAACCAGTCACTCTGACATCCTTATATCTCAACCAGTCACCCAGACATACCAACCAGCCATTCACCCCCACATACCAACCAGTCATCTTTAAAACCCAACCAGTAACCCTGATATGCCAACCAGTCACCCTGATATCCCAACCAGTCAACTAGATACCCCAACCAGTCACCCTGATATCCCAACTAGTCACCCTGACACCCCAACCAGTCATCCTGACACCCCAATCAGTCATCCGGACATCCCAACCAGTCACCCTGACATCCCAACCAGTCACCCTGACATCCCAACCAGTCATCCTGACATCCCAACCAGTCACCCTGACATCCCAACCAGTCACCCTGACATCCCAATCAGTCACCCTGACATCCCAACCAGTCACCCTGACATCCCAACCAGTCACCCTGACATCCCAACCAGTCACCCTGACACCCAACCAGTCACCCTGACATCCCAACCAGTCACCCTGACATCCCAACTAGTCATCCTGACATCCAAACCAGTCACCCTGACATCCCAACCAGTCACCCTGACATCCCAACCAGTCACCCTGACATCCCAACTAGTCATCCTGACATCCCAACTAGTCATCCTGACATCCCAACCAGTCACCCTGATAACCCAACCAGTCATCCTAACGTCCCAACAAGTTATCCTGACATCCCAACCAGTCACCCTGATAACCCAACCACTCATCCTGACATCCCAACCAGTCATCCTGACATCCCAACCAGTCACTCTGACATCCCAACCAGTCATCCTGACGTCCCAACAAGTTATCCTGACATCTGAACCAGTCACTCTGACATCCCAACCAGTCATCCTGACGTCCAAACCAGTCATCCTGACATCCCAACCAGTCACCCTGACATCCTTACCAGTCATCCTGACACCCCTACCTGTCATACTGACATCTGAACCAGCCACCCTGACATCCCAACTAGTCATCCTGACATCCCAACCAATCATCTTAACATCCCAACCAGTAACCCTGATACCCCAACCAGTCACCCTAATATCCCAACCAGTCACCCTGAAATCCCAACAAGTCACCCTGACACCCCAACCAGTCACCCTGATATCCAAAACTAGTCACCCTGACACCCCAACCAGTCATCCTGATATCTAAAACTAGTCACCCTGACACCCCAACCAGTCACTCTGACATCCTTATATCCCAACCAGTCACCCAGACATACCAACCAGCCATTCACCCCTACATACCAACCAGTCATCTTTAAATCCCAACCAGTAACCCTGATATGCCAACCAGTCACCCTGATATCCCAACCAGTCAACTAGATACCCCAACCAGTCACCCTGATATCCCAACTAGTCACCCTGACACCCCAACCAGTCATCCTGACACCCCAACCAGTCATCCTGACATCCCAACCAGTCACCCTGACATCCCAATCAGTCACCCTGACATCCCAACCAGTCACCTTGACATCCCAACTAGTCACCCTGACACCCCAACAAAAGATCCTGATATCCAAAACCAGTCATCCGGACATCCCAACTAGTCACCCTGACATTCCAACCAGTCACTCTGACATCATGACATCCCAACCAGTCATCTTGACATCCCAACCAGTCACCCCCACATACCAACTAGTCATCTTGACATATCAACGAGTCATCTTGACATTCCAACCAGTAACCCTGATATGCCAACCAGTCACCCTGATATCCCAACTAGTTACCCTGACACCCAAACCAGTCATCCTGACATCCCAACCAGTCATCCCGACATCCCAACCAGTCACCCTGACATCCCAATCACTCACCCTGACATCCCAACCAGTCACCTTGACATCCCAACCAGTAACCCTGATACTCCTACCAGTCATCCTAATATGCCAACCAGTCACCCTGACATCCCAACTAGTCACCCTGACACCCCAACAAGACATCCTGATATCCAAAACCAGTCATCTGGACATCCCAACTAGTCACCCTGACATCCCAACCAGTCACTCTGACATCATGACATCCCAACCAGTCATCTTGACATCCCAACCAGTCACCCCCACATACCAACTAGTCATCTTGACATATCAACGAGTCATCTTGACATCCCAACCAGTAACCCTGATATGCCAACCAGTCACCCTGATATCCCAACTAGTTACCCTGACACCCCAACCAGTCATCCTGACATCCCAACTAGTCATCCAGACATCCCAACCAGTCACCCTGACATCCCAATCACTCACCCTGACATCCCAACCAGTCACCTTGACATCCCAACCAGTAACCCTGATACTCCTACCAGTCATTCTTATATGCCAACCAGTCACCCTGACATCCCAACTAGTCACCCTGACACCCGAACCAGTCATCCTGATATCCAAAACCAGTCACCCGGACATCCTAACTAGTCACCCTGACATCCCAACCAGTCACTCTGACATCATGACATCCCAACCAGTCACCCTGACATACCAACCAGTCATCTTGACATCCCTACCAGTCACCCCCACATACCAACTAGTCATCTTGACATATCAACCAGTCATCTTGACATCCCAACCAGTAACCCTGATATGCCAACCAGTCACCCTGATATCCCAACCAGTCATCCTGATATCCCAACTAGTTACCCTGACACCCCAACCAGTCATCCTGATACCCCAACCAGTCACCCTGACATCCCAACTAGTCACCCTGACATTCCAACCAGTCACACTGACATCCCAATCAGTCACCCTGACATCCCAACCAGTCACCTTGACATCCCAAGCAGTCACCCTGATACCCCAACCAGTCACCCTAATATCCCAACCAGTCATCCTGACATCCCAACTAGTCACCCTGACATCCCAACCAGTCATCCTGACACCCCAACCAGTCACCCTGACATTACAACCAGTCACCCTGACATACCAACCAGTCATCTTGACATACAAACCAGTCATCTTGACATCCCATCCAGTCACCCTGACATCCCAACCAGTCACTCTGACATACCAACCAGTCTCTCTGACATCCCAACCAGTCACCCCGACATACCAACCAGTCATCTTGACATACAAACCAGTCATCTTGACATCCCATCCAGTCACCCTGACATCCCAACCAGTCACTCTGACATACCAACCAGTCATCCTGACATCCCAACCAGTCACCGTGATACCGCAACCAGTCACCCTGATATCCTAACCAGTCATCCTGACATCCCATACAGTCATCCTGACATCCCATACAGTCACCCTGATACCCCAACCAATCACCCTGACATTGGTTTTATGTTGATAGTCCTAAAGATAAAGTTTTACTACAAGTATCACATAAACTTAAAATTATCAATGATCCATGAAAATGGGGTCAAGGTCATATAAACCAAGCCAGACAGACATGTACACTTTAAAATCATTCAATACACCAAACATAGTTGAACTATTGCTTATAGTATACAAGAAAAAGACCAAACCATGAAAAATTAACATTGACCAATGGACCATGAAAATCAGGTCAAGGACAAAATACACCTGCCAGACAGACATGTACACCTTACAATCATTCCATACACCAAATATAGTATTAGAAAAACAGACCAAAACACAAATTCTTAACATTGACCAATGAACCATGAGAATTAGGCCAAGGACAAATGACACCTGCCAGACAGACATGTACACTTTACAATCATTCCATACATTAAAAATAGTTGACCTATTGCTTATAGTATTAGAAAAACAGACCAAAACACAAAAATTTAACATTGACCAATGAACCGTGAAAATAAGGTCAAGGTCTGATGAAACCTGCCAGACTGACATGTACCACTTACAATCATTCCATACACCCCATATAGCTGACCTACTGCTTATAGTATTTGAGAAACGAACATAATCACGTAACTTTAACCTTGATCACTGATCCATGAAATGAGGTTGAGGTCAGGTGAACCCTATCTGACGGACATGTAGACTTTGCAAGGAACCCATATACCAAATATAGTTATCCTATTACTCATAATAAGTGAGAAATTCACATAACAAATAAACTATATTTTTTTTCAAGCAGTCGCTGAACCATGAAAATGAGGTCAAGGACAAAGGACATATGACAGACGGAAACTTCGTAACATAAGGTATCTGCATACAAAGTATGAAGCATCCAGGTCTTCTACCTTCTGAAATATAAAGCTTTATACAAATAGTTTACGCTGCTACCGCCACTGGATAGTAATACCTATGTCTCACTCTGCGACTTTTGTCGCAGAGGAAACAAAAATCTTTGTTCAATTAATAGTTGATTTTCTGTTTTTTCAGCTTTCTACATTCTGTTGTCAAATTTGTTTCAGTTTCTTGGCACAATTCATTGGTCTTGTCGTATTGTGAATTATGTGTGGCCATATAAATCATCACTATCATTTCCTTGACCAGTACGTGGAGAAGATATTGGGGACCCAATCTGAAATAAAACTTCTTTCAGTAAAATTGTTTACTTTTAAATTTTTATTTGAAGATTAAACATTCCCTTTTCAAGGTAACAATTAGAGAACCAAGTTCAATACTTTGTTTTCTTTATGTTAAGTAGGTGAACAATCATAATAAGCTTTACACAATATGGTGAAGATCATTTTTTAATATCCCCATTTGAAAAGCAATACAAGAAATTTCTCATGATTTTTTTTTCAAAGTCTGTATTAACTATAATTTTTCAAAGTATTCAAGCATGAAGGAATTGATAACACAAAAATTGTTTAAAAGTAATAAAATCCGAATGGAAGAACTATTGAATAATTTACATCTTAATTTTAATAATTAGTAAAACAAAAAAAAATACCAAAACAGCCCGATTCAACTGGATTTATTTGTATTTTTATCCATCTGATGAGTTAAGCCTCTTTCAACTGAATTTCATAGTTCGTTCTTATGTTGTACTGTTACACCACTGTCCTGGTTAGGGGAGGGTTGGGATCCCACTAACATGTTTAACCCCGCCACATTCTGTATGTATGTGCCTGTCCCAAGTCAGGAGCCTGTAATTCAGTGGTTGTCGTTTGTTTATGTGTTACATATTTGTTTTTCGTTCATTTTTTGTACATAAATTAGGCTGTTAGTTTTCTCGTTTAAATTGTTTTACATTATCATTTCGGGGCCTTTTATAGCTGACTGTGGGGTATGGGCTTTGCTCATTGTTGAAGGCTGTACAGTGACCTAGAGTTGTTAATTTCTGTGTCATTTGGTCTCTTGTGGAGAGAGTTGTCTCATTGGCAATCATACCACATCTTCTTTTTTATATTATAAAACAATTCAATTAGATTATTGTGTTATGTTTTACCTGTACACTTTAAATCTTTTTTCTAATTGCCCATTCTTCATTCCCAATATCATCTCTGTGCCTCGATTAGTGTATGGATGTCTACATAAGAAGAAAAATTGTACATGATCAGGATGATTTCGTTGTAATTCCCAATTTCAAAAGTAAATATTTTGTTTATTAAAACAAGAGGCTCTCAAGAGCCTGAATCGCTCACCTGTTATTTTTGCTTTTTTCCCATATGTTCCATTTTAGCCATAGTGTATATGTTTCTTGAGGTACAAGTAAATGAAATACAAAATTTATACTAGATTCATTTGAGTTAAAAAACATAAAACAACTTGTGTAAAATTGTTCTTAAAGGGCAATAACTCCTTAAGGGGTCAAGTTACAATTTTGGTCATATTAAACTTTTTTGTAGATCATATTGCTGAACATTTTTGCTGTTTACAGTTTATCTTTATCTTCAATAATATTCAAGATAATAACCAAAAACTGCAAAATTTCCTTAAAACAACCAATTTAGTGGCAGCAACCCAACAATGGGTTGTTCGGTGTGTCTGAAAATTTCTGGGCTGATAGATCTTGACCTTTTGAACATTTTTACCCAATGTCAGATTTGCTCTAAATGCTTTAGTTTCTGAGATATAAGCAAAAAACTGCATTTCACCCCTATGTTCTATTTTTAGCCATGGCGGCCATGTTTGTTGATGGATCAAAATTTCGGATACAATTCATAAACTAGATTCTTAAAGGAACATTCATTCAAAGTTAAGAAGTATTAGGCACAATAGTTTCAGAAGAGAAGATTTTTAAATGTCAGCAAACTTGCTGAACACATTGCGTAAAATTGTCGGCAATAACTCCTTAAGAGGTCAACTGATAAATTTGGTCATTTAACTTTTCTGTAGATCTTACTTTGCTGAAAATTATTGCTGTTTATAGTTTATATCTATCTATAATAATATTCAAGATAATAACAAAAAACTGCAAAATTTCCTCAAAACTACCAATTTAGTGGCAGCAACCCAACAATGGGTTCTTCGATTTGTCTGAAAATTTCAGGGCTGATAGATCTTGACCAATTGAACAATTTTACATCATGTCAGATTTGCTCTTAAAGCTTTAGTTTTAGAGATATAAGCCAAAAATAGCATTTGACCCCTATGTTCTATTTTTAGCCATGGTGGCCATGTTTGTCGATGGATTAAAACTTCGGATACAATTTATAAACTAGATATCCTAAGGAACATTTAGATGAAGTTTGAAGGTATTTGGCCCAGTAGTTTCAGAGGAGAAGATTTTTAAATGTTAGCAAACTTGATGAACAAATTGTGTAAAATTGTCTTTAAAGGGCAATAACTCCTTAAGTGGTCAATTGACAATTTTTGTCATATAAACTTTTTTGTAAATCTTACTTTGCTGAACATTATTGCTGTTTACAGTTTATATCTATCTATAATAATATTCAAGATAATAACAAAAAACTGCAAAATTTCCTCAAAACTACCAATTTAGTGACAGCAACCCAACAATGAGTTGTTTGATTCGTCTGAAAATTTCAATGCTGATAGATTTTGACCAATTGAACAATTTTACCCCATGTCAGATTTGCTCTAAAAGCTTTAGTTTTTGAGATATAAGCAAAAACTGCATTTGACCCCTATGTTCTATTTTTAGCCATGGCGGCCATGTTTGTCGATGGATCAAAACTTCGGATACAATTTATAAACTAGATACCCTAAGGAACATTAAGTTAAAGTTTGAAGGTATTTGGTGCAGTAGTTTCAAAGGAGAAGATTTTTGAAATAGTTTACGACGACAACGACAACAGACGACGACGGACGCCAAGTGATGGCATAAGCTCACATAAGGCCCTTCGGGTCCCGGTGAGCTAAAAATAACAAATGTTTTAATTATTCCAAATTTTGTGACAGGTTATCAATCTCGATAATAGGAACTTTCTATCTTAAACTTTATTCAAATGAAACTTTTGACTGAAATCAAAATGATTAATCTCACATTTTTGTAAAAAAAATTCCAAAAACCAATAATTGTTGAATGTACTAATTTCGAATTTTGCTGTACTTATTTGTCTGCTAGTTTTTGGAAATTACTTATTGTAAAACCTTAAAGTGCTGTTCCAGAAAAAAATATCTTACATCTGTGACACTATTGCATAAATGAATTTCTGCTGTTGTTTAAAAAATATATAAAATATTTAATTGTAAAATAAAAAAGACAGATAGGATAAACGAACCATCACTGACAAGAAGTCAATTATGTCTACAATTAATTATAAATCTCAACATATCAAGTCAAAAAAAAGTATCTTGAATATAAGTTTCTTTCTATCATTTAACTTACTTTGGATCCCGTCCTGTATTATATAGGAGATCTGTAGACAACTTTTCATGCACATACTCCATGGCCTAGAAATACATACAGCATACAATTAACCCTAAATTATTAGTTTAAAATGAAATGAAGAAAAGGTTTAAATTGCAAATTTTCTGTGTTGCATACTTGGAATGAAAAATAACAGTTCATTATTATACAATTTAATACTCAAAATTTAATGTGTAGAGTAATAAATCACAAGTCAATACTTACCAAAAGAAAGTCAAGGAGAAAAATGAAGACTTCTCTTGATGAAATTGAAAATATAAGGGTGTGTAGATGAGATGTTATTCTGCTCTTGCAGTCATTTTTGTATGCCTTATTTGGTTATTTTTTACTATGGTTTCATATATTATTATATTGCCATTTAATTTTATTTCTGCAGAAGTGTACACTGGAAATATACAAATATTAAGTTAAAAATATCATAGTTTTTCCTAAAATTTCACAAACCCTATGCTTTATCACACTCAATCCAAATCCAACTGTCACTCTTTCCCTGTTTTGCACTTTCAGTGGATTGGCAACAAATTCATGATGTCTAACATGGTCAGCAAGGTCACTGAAAGAAAAGTAATAGTGCATGTATTGAAAGATTTCACTAACGTAAATCCCATTAGACTGCTCCATGAAGCACATCTTGATACAAATACAACATGTTAAACTTTATAACATAGGACAAATTTGGACTCTTATAGATAAAAAAATAAGCTCTTGGCATGTTCTCGCCGCTATTACAAATGACTGATACAGTAGCATAATTGGTGTCTAACTTGTATCAGATGTACTTCTAAAACAGTATTTCTCTAGATTGTGAGCTGTTACTTGAAATAAACCTTAATGTTATTTGAGAAACATAATCTAAACATGATAATTTAATACCACATGAGAAATGTGGTTTCCAACTCATTGTAGGGCAAGATTAAAAAAAAAATATTCCTCTTTTGCTTGTTGTGGCACCACCAACAACAGGTAGCAGTAAATTTTTGCAACCACAATTTTTGTAAAAGTTTTAAGAATACAATTATTGAGTACATGCGAGTACATGCGCAATCAGAAACGATTCATCAACACATTGAATATGCAAAAATAACACTTGACAATTATAAAATGACCATTTTTGCGGTAGTTCTTTAGTTTGTTATAATGCATAAGCATTGTATTGTAATAGTTCTACAATATATATTTATCATAAGTTTAATACAGCTATTTCTTATTTACAGACGGGTAACATTGTAATGGCGATCCATGTATACAAGATACCAAGGAATATTTTGCATTTCTACTACTGTAAGGATCCAGAAATATCAAATTTCACATAAGATAGTCAGAATTTTGATAGGCATTTGCTTAAATCAACCTGAATGCTACAATAGACTGCACTGGCAACTTAACAGCGAATTCGATTTAATGTTTCTCAGATGCCAGATTAATAATGATCTTGAAAAAGTAGTTATATTTTGAATACTGTTAATTGTGGTTGAAACTGAATCAAATTATGTAATAAATTCTCTGGGTTTTTTCATCATGAAACTCTTGACTGGTTCATATAAATATCTGTAAGTACTGCGGTAGTCATTAAATAAAAGTTTAAATTTACCAAGTGCTTTCTTGACAGTTAACTATTTCATACAGTTTTTCTTTACAGGTCAGATACTGAAAACATACAATATATCAAATATTAATTATCATACAATATATCAAATATTAATTATCTTCAAATACATACTTTGAAATACATATGAGAGACTTCTAGGTGCCCAAATTGCTCACCTGGTGGCAAAAAGCTGCATTTTCTTTGTCTTATAATTTTCTAAAAATATATGTTAAAATGCCTTTTTAGGGACAGTAACTCCAATAAGAGGCATTGAAGGATGTCAGTCCACTTAATACTTTTGTAGATCTTTACCTGCTGATCATTTTTGCAATTGAAAGTTTTACTCTATATCTTATGATTAAAGACGATGACAGCACCAAGTGTTGACAGTTGCTCACCTCAGGATTAGGTCAGGTGATCAGCTGGAAAGTGTCATTTTATCATCTTTTAAAAAGCTAATTGCACATAGACTGGGTCACTAGATATCAAATATGGTATTAAATACTATGTACTAAGGGATGGTTATTCAATCTTTTTCATTACAAGGAAAATCTGCAATATTGTCAATTGTACATAATTTGTTGAAATTAAAGCAATTGCTGCCTAGTTAATGTTTTTGTGACTTTTATTTTTCATCCACATGTAAAAGAATTAAAACCTGAGAGGAGTCTTATCTAGTGAGAAGTAATGATGTTTTAATTTTATATCAATAAAAGACTTATCCAGCAGAAAGTAATTTTTACAATGTTTTACATTTCCCAGGGGGACTACACGTTTACCCGGCTGAAGGTGGAGGCAAATATTTTTTTCGTGGAAATGTATAACTGCCGAAAAAATCATAACAGATTATCCCCTTGTAGAGTGTCTATTACTGGGCAATAATTTACATGACAATCCATGCACCTTGCTTCATTATCTTTATTGCTTCTATTTTATTTTAAGTATATCATAATTGGTTTAAATTTAACCATTCAGTGAGTTGATGATTTCAACTTTCCTGACGCAAGTGTTCTACCGAATTATAGTTTTTTTTTATAATAAGAATCATTCATTCATACATACCAATTAAAGATTTGCAGATGGGACCGCCTTCTGATATTTTCATGAAATGCACGTTAACTGTCGATTAACCTGGGAACTGGCTAACGCTAACCACTGTCATTACTAATGACATAATCGCGTAAAAATATTAATGCAACAGATTTTCAAAATAAAGAAATTAATTTTCAGTTAAAAGTTTCATGAAGTCATCGCAATTGCTTTAAAAAACTACATACATGAACCTGACATGTCTCCACTGACATCTTTCTATCATCCTTGTCATCTTCATAGTAATCATCTTCAACATCATCAATATCATTATGTTGAGACGGACCTACTTCTTGCGTTATTGCCACCTCTTGCATGTTATCTACAGACAAATAATACAGATACTAAATTCGAACACACAAACCAAGTCATTAATCTAAAAAAATACAAACACAATGATAAATCTAAGTCATAAACTCACTACATTTGTTGATTTAACTGAATTAAACATATTGATTTTCATATACAGTCAAACCTGTATATACATGTAAATGTTAAATACAAAGGGATGTACGAAAACTTATGTTTTGAAGAGAGGTTCCCTTGAAAATGAGTTTAGAATTACTTAGCAATAAACTAAAATAGGAAATTGACCTTACAAGGCTATGCAGGTTAAAAGAATTAATCTACTGCAGACAAAACTAGTTTATCTGATCCTTACCACTGCTTTCAACTAGGTATTGGCCTATCTCTATTCGCAAAGTCTGTAGTTTTTTCTTTGTTGAGTTGAAGCGGAAGTCCTCTACTCCTTTCAGTATAAGCTCTGCAAACTGAGAATTGCCTTTTTCATTTAGTTATGGTTAATGGACAATAACTTTGCCTGCTCATACTACTTTACAATTTAAATAACATAAGATGACCATTTTTCAACATTTATCAATACAAAAATAATGGCGAGAATGTTTAATGACTTTGACCACTGATTAAGAGTCTATGTAAGGTTGGAGTCAATCTAATGTTTGTCCCAGGAAGTTGGTCATATTTCATACAAAAGGTTGATTTGACAATAGTGAGATGCAAATTTAGTGAATACTGGTAGTCCCAATAACATGCAGACATGAACAATGCAGAATAATCTAAAAAAAGGTTTTGACGAAAAACTTCAATACATCATATCATATTTCCACAATATATCATATCATATAACCATTCTTTGGTAATAAATTCCTGCATATTGTCTTTGACGGACATTTACTTTCAAACTGGTTAACAGATTTATTGATTTAAAGATTTTCCGAGTAAGGGGTTAGGTAAAAATGTTAAATTTGACAAAACTAATTTATACCTTCAATACAAAAACTCCACAAGAGTTTGAGTCCATCTGTTTATGATGTCGCCTCGATGAGATGGTCCATTCTTCACTGATGTAGGTACCAATTCCTTTTATGTATCTGTCACTCAAAAATTGTCTATATAAAACATGAAATGAAAATAAAAGTTTGCAATTTTGCAATTTTTACAGGTATTTTTTTTTTACATTTCTCAATATAAAGGACCCATGGTTATCTTATCTCCAGCATTATTTTTATATTATAGGGTTATTGCACGAATATTGGGAAATATTGTCCCCAGTAAAATGTAACATTGTTCAAGCTTGCAATATCAAATCCAATACTGGATAATAATATTGCATTCTAAATTTTGATTACCCCGGTATGTTCTGTGGGGAATATTGTGATACTATACAATAAAAGGGTTATTTTACTAATATTGTAGAATAAAGTATTGCACTAGCTTGTGAGTTCGATATGACATTCTACAAGGTACAATATCTGTGCAATAACACTTATGCTGTAAAACAAAGCATACAAAACGACATAACCATCTAGAAGTTCTAACTATGATGATGTCACAATTTGTAGGCAATATTGCAGTGAATATATCAGCCAATATTGTACACTAAAATTTTATTATATTCTGTAGTATTTTTGTTGCTATACACTATATAAATAGTTATTGTATAGCAATTCAATATTTGCTACAGGAAGTAACCACAAATTATCATGCAATAAATATAGTTTGATAATAGTGTCAAATTAGTTATGTCATCAATGACAAAAAATGCATTTTAAGCATGTGTTGAAGCATTGCTTTACAGTAAAAGGGTCATTGCATGAATATTGCAAGCTCATGCAATATGAAATTCTACTCTGGTAAATATTCAACAATATTCATGCAATAGCCCTATAATATGAATTAAACAAAAAAACTCTGCATTATCAGTTTATTCAGGAATTATTGTATACATTCATTATACATGTTATATTCATTATTGTGATTGAAAAAATTACGGACCAAAATGTGACATTTATTTATGTGATTTATTTGGAGTCTATGTGCACACCAATCATCATGGTCATGCTGATAAAATAGCTTATGAGTTCTTATAACATCACAACAATTTCTGAATTTACAGTATATTGGTACAATCATAAAAATATTTGTAAGACACATTGAAGGAAAGTAAAGGACTCATTTAGATGTTATACCCAGTATATGACTTCACATTGGCTTTGACAATGCATGCTACACAGCGTTAATTAATTTTGTGTTGTAGCTTAGTGTTTTCTTAGGAAATGTTTAAAATTTCTGATTATGGAAATATTGTGCTTATTTATAGTTTTATTTATGATTATTTTTAATTTCTCTGTGTTTATTAAATGAACAGTAATACTTACAACCACTTTTGCAAATATATGTCTTTCATTTCTCTACATTCACCCATAGGGTTGAGGTAAATGAGTTCAAGTCTCTTTGGAAAGATGACCATTAGAGACCAATGACATCCTGCTTCATGCAAAGCTCCAATTATGATGTCATATTCCTCAATATCAACCTGCAATTCACAATAGTAATTTTAGGGAATACATTAGCTCAGAATAGGACAAGCATGTGCAGGGACAATGCTCAAAATATAAAAATTCCTCTTAATAATAATATGTTTAATTAATTATTGACTGTGTCTGAGGACAACAGCTGCTTTGTTTGACTTAACGACAGAACTGAGCTTTTTCCCATAGTTTATTTGTTATACCCGAAACCAATGTAAACCTGTCTAAGTTGTTTACATGCCATAGCCAGTGATGTAAAGTCAATAAAAATCTAGCTTCCCAGCAATATTTCCACAGAAAAATCTTGTATAAGGTATAACCATTAGTAATAATTCAGTTTTATGTTTGGTTTGTGTATTGGTTGAAGAAGAATACATCAACCCAGAGGATTTGATTAAAAATTATTCACAACTTAGAATTAAAGTCATTATTGATTTACACTAAATGCGATTATGTGGCTGACTCATGCGTTTGAGAAATAATTAACAAAATACCAACTATCGGTAAAATGCTTACCCCTTCTAGAAAAGAGTGCAATGGAAATGGGTCATCTAGAGTTAAGCCACAAAATATTGACGTCATTACTTCACATGACAAGAAATGTACAGTTCCATTCTAAAAAGATAAAAATAAAAAAAATGATCATATAATAAACAAAGATGAAACTTAATGAAACATCAACAAAACTAAAACCAGATTTTCTGCTTTTCAATTCTGAGAGACAGGAGAAACCAAGGTTGATGATTCTTTAATATCTTGATGGATTCATGAATTATTTTATATTTAAAGCAAATGATTTAAGAATCAGAGTTTAAAAACAGTAGACAATAGTGTAAATTTGAAATTTTTAATCATCGAAAAGGATGTCAAATTAATAGCTGGAAATAATTAATTTGAAGTAAAACCTAGAAAACATTACCTGACATTCTTTGCATTTCAAGGAAATGTAAGCATTCATTACCTGCAATGGAAGGCGTATCAATTGAGTTCAAGTGCATTGTCAAACAAATTTGTTATTCTATTAAATGTGTTATGCAAAAAAGTAACAGTTTTTATACGACTGCAAAAAAATTTTGTATATTGGTATGACGTTGGCGTCGTCGTCAACCGGCGTCGTTGTTGTCCAAAGACACATTAGTTTTCGCACTCTAACTTTAGTTTAAGCGAATGGATCTCAATGAAATTTTACCATAAGATTCAATACCACAAAAGGAAGGTGGGGATTGATTTTGGGGGTTATGGTACCAACAGTTAAGGAATTAGGGGCCAAAAAGGGGCCAAAAATAAGCATTTTTGTAACTTCCAGACATAACTTGTGTGTAAGTGTATGGATCTCTCTGACATTGTACCACAAGGTTCCATATCACAAAGGGAATGCTGGGATTGATTTTGGGGGTAACTGCCTCCAAATTTTAGGAATTAGGGACCAAAAAGGGGCAAAAAACAAGCATTTTTCTAGTTTCATGACAATAACTTGTGTGTTAGTGTATGGATCTCTCTGACATTGTATCACAAGGTTCCATATCACAAAGGGAATGCTGTGATTGATTTTGATGGTAATTGCCTCCAAATTTTAGGAATTAGGGGCCAAAAAGGGGCAAAAAGCAAGCATTTTTCTAGTTTCATGACAATAACTTGTGTGTTAGTGTATGGATCTCTCTGACATTGTATCACAAGGTTCCATATCACAAAGGGAATGCTGGGATTGATTTTGGGGGTAATTGCCTCCAAATTTTAGGAATTAGGGGCCAAAAAGGGGCAAAAAACAAGCATTTTTCTAGTTTCATGACAATAACTTGTGTGTAAGAGTATGGATCTTTATGAAATTGTACTACAAGGTTTCATATCACAAAGGGAAAGCTGGAATTGAGTTTGGGGGTAATTGACCAAAAAGCTTAGGAAGTAGGGGCCAAAAAGGGGCCAAAAATAAGCATTTTTCTAGTTTCCAGACAATAACTTGTGTTCAAGTGTATGGATCTCTCTGAAATTGTACTGCAAGGTACCATACCACAAAGGGAAGGCTGGGATTGATTTTGGGGGTAATTCCCTCAAAATTGTAGGAATTAGGGGCCATAAAAGGGCAAAAAACAAGCATTTTTCTAGTTTCAGGACAATAACTTGTGTGTAAGTGTATGGATCTTTATGAAATTGTACTACAAGGTTCCATATCACAAAGGGAAAGCTGGGTTTGAGTTTGGGGGTAATTGCCCTAAACGTTTAGGAATTTGGGGCCAAAAAGGGGCCAAAAAACAAGCATTTTTCTAGTTTCCAGACAATAACTTGTGTTCAAGTGTATAGATCTCTCTGAAATTGTACTGCAAGGTACCATACCACAAAGGGAAGGCTGGGATTGAGTTTGGGGGTGATGAATCATAAGGGGGTTCAAAAAATTTGGGGGGGGGGGATTTTTTTTCCCTTTTTTTTCTTTAGAATTTTCCATTTTAAATTGGTTATTTCTGATTTATATATAAAAGCAAATAATAATGATATGGTTTGAATAGGTAAATTAAAATTTTTTAAGTTCTTAGACCACTTTCATTCTGTGTCAGAAACCTTTGCTGTGTCAAATATTTAATTACAATCCAAATTCAGTGCTGTATCAAGCTTGAATGTTGTGTCCATACTTGCCCCAACTGTTCATGGTTCGACCTCTGCGGTCGTATCAAGCTGCGCCCCAGCGGAGCATTTTATTAGCAAACATAAAACTAATATATTTGATTGATCTGAAACCAAATGCCATTATGATGTATCTTAAAACATTCTTACACATCTAAAAGAACTAATACTAAGTGGGAACTATACACCATGCAACAAATACTTAATAGTGTAGGTGATTGCATTTTGTTAAGAGATGGAATCCAAATATCTGTCAGAGTATAACTGCTATGTTCATACATAAAACATGTTTGCATAGTTTATTTCAGCTCTTCAACTTCACTTACTTCATCTGGAAGCATATCATCCAAATCAGTGAAACTCCGTCTGTTTATTTTATATCCAACTACATTGATAGACATATTTCTTTGCCTAACTGTAAAATGATAAAATAAAGAAAAATATCAGACGATTCATTAATTATATTAGATGAGTAATGTACTATAATAGTATTGGATTTATTAAAAACAATATAGTACTATTTCTGTTTGAGCTATATTAAAATGGTTGACTTATTCCTAAAATAATTTTAGTCCTTTTCAATAAGTGGAACAGACTCCAGTTAATTTGTTGTCAAAATGATTGTAAAAGTATAAAGTATAGGTAATTATCAGTAAAGATATCATGGTCATTTAACAGGAGGCAGTGAAAATAACTATGTTGAAATAGATAGGAGCTAGTATAAAAATGTATCCTTAGGATACAGATGTGACCACCTTTGTATTTAGACTGAAAAAGTACAAGTCCAGTCCCATATCTCTGAGACAAAATTTCATTCATATTGCTTTATTTCTGATGTAACAAACACTTGATTGAATTATAATCTCTTGTTAATTTTCCTGATTTCTGTTCTTCATTTACCTGTGTTTTCAAAGTGTTCCACTTGCACAACCGGATCTGGATGTCCTGATTCTTTATTACAACAAGCTATAAGAATGGATAAAGACATCATCTTTACACTATATACAATGTAGCTATAATTCTCATTTAATGTAAACTTTGAAGAAATGAGTTAAGATGAACTTGAAACCCAGAAAATCCACATTTTTTTATTACATATATTAAGGATCTTAAATTGTAATGAAAACATAACCTTCAATCATACAATACATGAATACATATGAACAACTCATCAGGTGTAACGTGTGGGTCAGATATTGCTTACCCTTCCACAAATATAAGAAAAATATTTATTGGTACTAATATTGATATAGTTATCAATAAATTAAAACATTACAAAATATGCATTGCTATACAGTTATGGACACTTAAAGTGCTAGATAATGTTGATACATATATTTTGGCATTGCACAAGGTCACATTTTTCTCAGACTTTTAATGATGTCTTTACACTAAGTCTGATGGATGTGTACTGATTCATTTTCAATTTTTCATCTTTTACCTGTTGAAAAGTCTTCCATCAAACATTCTGACTGGACTTCTTCAGATATGGTATCTGCCTGATGTTTCTTGTCTTTACTTTTTCTTGTTACATCTTTGCCTGTATAAAGAAAGAGATTGTAATTTCCTTAAAGTCTTACTTTCATTAATATAAAATAGTATCAGTCATAGAATTCCTAACATAAGTGATGTTATTTTTTTATAAAGGCTACAGGCACTATAATTAACATTTAAAATGCACAATTATAAATTATATCCCTTGGTTACGCATGACCAATTATTTACCAATATCTTTATAGGATACACACACTTTAAAATTGAGAATGGAAATGGGGAATGTGTCAAAGAGACAACAACCCGACCATAGAACAGACAACAGCAGAAGGTCACCAACAGGTCTTCAATGCAGCGAGAAATTCCCGCACCCGGAGGCGTCCTTCAGCTGGCCCCTAAACAAATATATATACTAGTTCAGTGATAATGAACGCCATACTAAACTCCAAATTGTACACAAGAAACTAAAATTAAAAATAATACAAGACTAACAAAGGCTAGAGGCTCCTGACTTGGGACAGGCGCAAAAATGCGGCGGGGTTAAACATGTTTATGAGATCTCAACCCTCCCCCTATACCTCTAGCCAATGTAGAAAAGTAAACGCATAACAATACGCACATTAAAATTCAGTTCAAGAGAAGTCCGAGTCTGATGTCAGAAGATGTAACCAAAGAAAATAAACAAAATGACAATAATACATAAATAACAACAGACTACTAGCAGTTAACTGACATGCCAGCTCCAGACTTCAATTAAACTGATTGAAAGATTATGTCTTCATCATATGAATATCAGGCACAATCATTCCCGTTAGGGGTTTAGTATCATACCATCATAACATATATGAGAAGAACATAACCCGTGTCATGCCAACAACTGGTTTTTAAATAATTGTGTTTAGTGCCGATGCAAAGACCCTATAAGTGAATCAATATTAACGCCAAAATATGCAATCTTTAATGACCTGACAACAGTATCGTAACTATATCCCTTCTTAATAAGTCTATTTAAAGGTTTTGTTAGCTTCATAGGTGAATACTGACATTTCTGTGCTTTATAAAGAATATTTCCATAAAAAATTGGATGTGAAATACCTGACGTATAAGAAGTCTGCATGTTGGGCTATATTTACGAATGATGTCCTTATACCGATGATAAAATTTAGTAAATGTTTTGACTAGTTTGTGATATCGAAAACCCTGGTTTAATAATTTTTCAGTAATACATAAATTTCTCTCGTTAAAATCTAAAACATTGTTACATACACGAGCGAATCGTACAAGTTGAGATATATAAACACCGTAAGATGGTGACAAGGGAACGTCACCATCTAAAAATGGATAATTAACGATAGGAAATGAAAAATCATCTCTTTTATCATATATTTTAGTATTAAGCTTTCCATTAATGATATAGATATCAAGATCGAGGAAAGGGCAGTGGTCATTTTTAGTATTAGCTTTATTTAAAGTAAGTTCAACAGGATAAATTTCTTTAGTATACATACTGAAGTCGTCATTATTGAGAGCCAAAATATCATCCAAATATCTAAAAGTATTATTAAATTTGTGTATCAGATGTTGTTTCGATGGGTCTTTGCTGATTTTTGTCATAAATTGTAACTCAAAGCAATACAAAAAAAGTCCGCAATAAGTGGTGCACAGTTAGTCCCCATTGGAATTCCGATAACCTGACGATATACGGAATCTCCAAAGCGAACAAAAATGTTATCTAGTAAAAATTCAAGGGCATATATAGTATCAAAGCATGTCCAATTGACATAGTTTTTTTGTTTATTGCTACTAAAAAATGACCTAAAAGAGTTTGAACATATATATTCACATTCTGACTTTTTAAATGCCCATTTAATAAGGTGTGTGAATTTTTTCTTAATGAGAATGTGAGGCAACGTGGTATATAGGGTAAAAAAATCAAAACTTTGAACAGATTCAAAATCACCAATATATGCATGTAATTTATCAAGTACTTCCAACGAGTTCTTGACACTCCAAAAGTAATTAATTCCACTATTTTCGAAGGCCTTATTTGAACAATTTATTATCAGGTTTTTGATTGTACCAAGTGTACTGGTAAGAAGAATAGACAATTTAGTAGTGGAAGAATGGCTTGAAGACGAAATAAATCTATATTTGTAAGGTGTTTTGTGTAGCTTCGGAAGCCAATACATAGTTGGGACTTTCATTGTATTTGGTTCTGCTTGTAAAGCGGTAGCTAAAAGTTTACGTTTGTTACAGATGTCGTTTTCTGAAAATGGAGTCAGTTGGAATGTTGGTGAATTGGTGATTTCTTTTTTCAGAACCTCAATGTAAAATTTACGTCAAACAATAATAACATTATTAGCAGCTTTATCGGCCGGGACAAAAACAAATTCCTTGGCTAGTTCTTTTAGTTTATGTTTGATACAAGAAATAGGTTTATTGTGGTTATTGTTAAGAGTAAAATGTTCTTTAAAATGTTGAATACGTATATCAACTATGTTCATTACTGAATTAAGAAAAGAGTCCTTTGTATGTTCAAAATTTGAATGAATTCAGTCACATCATTTATAAGAAGTTGATCGAGATTATTTCCTTCATACAAATCTTGACAAATCATACTTGAACTACCCTTTTCCAGTTTCCTAAAAATCCGTGAAATGCTCTGTCAGGAGTTGCATTTACATGCATTATGTCACCCAAATGTGATGAACTTTGCTGCGAGTAACAGTACTTTTCAAAAAAATAATTTCAGAAGCACAAATTCAATAATGAAAATATTTTAGTACAAGTTATTCCCCTTCATGGTATGTAGCATTTGTTCCTTGTATCTAAGAGCCATGTTGGGAAGCAAACGTTCTTTTAGCTTATGTAAGGAATTTTAACATCCAATATGGTTGCCACCAAATACAATTCTAAAGCTAAAAATGTTTATATATTAAGGTAATAAATATAATATGAACTTTTCACCGATGCTCTTGATTGTAAGAAACATAAATTTATACCAAGGAATAATTATACCATATTATAATTTTAAAATCAAATTCAGCCTACTGGAAATGGATTTAAAACAGGGCTATATATATTCAACTTGTTGTAAAAAACTCTATCAGTTTGCATATATTCTTTCTTAATGTTTGACATTAAAGTCAAATAAATAAATAATGCACATTACACCTGATGATTACAAACAATTTTTTTCTTCAAAGAAAAACATACCATGATTTTCAGAAATCAGTTCCTCAGCTCCTTTAGTGGTAAACTGATTTCTCCTCATTGCTGCTATCTGACCACGTCTTCCAGCAGCAGGTTTCCTCATTTTCCTTCTTGGTAGTTTCAGCAATTTCTTTTTTTGAAGATATTTATTCTTTAATTTCTTAGCTGCTTTTGTTGACCCTATATGAAGCATATCCCCTTCTTCAAGTACAAACAGGCCGCTGTTCGGAACATTATCTTTCAAGAGTTGTAGACTAACTTCCAATTGTGTTGATAATTTTCTAAGCACATCCATGTCCTGGCAATGATATGCAAGATCTGTTATTTGCCTACATGCACTGCCTACTAAATTCCTCTGTCTCTTGATTGCAGATATATTAATTTGTTGAGACTTGTGTGGATGACTTTCATTGCTGTCTTCCTCTGTTGCATCTGTTGCATCTTCAGGTTGAGCTGACAAACAGTTGTTGAATTGGCCAATGTCGAGATTGATGAACGGATTGTTTTTGTAATCCTCAGGAAGAGATTCCGAACTACAAGCAGTTTGAGTGTTAAATACTGCAAAAAAATGTTTACAGGGAAGATGATTATCCCTCCAGTCAGGACAGTCACATGATGGTAAGCCTACATGGTTTGCATTGATATTGACCTCATATACTTTATCTTGATGTGTCTGACTCTTTACAAAGAATACACCACTACTTATTTCGTCAACATTGGAATGGTTTATTTCGTCAGCTTCTCGCCATCTTTTAAAACAGAATTCCACAACATTCTTTGGTTTGTTATGAAGAAAAGCTGGAATGTTTTCTGCATAAGCCCTGGCCTGATCTGATGAAGCGGCATTTATCTGTAGATACCTGTTATGAATAAACATTATATGGTTAGTACCAAAGTTAAGGAAGAAGAGTCTGGTTCTGAATATTTCCTCAAAAAAAAATTTCAGCTCAACAAACACTGACCTATAGTTGTTAATTTCTACGTCATTTGGTCTCTGGTGGAGAGTTGTCTCATTGGCAATTATACCACATCTTCTTATTTTTATACTTATTGTTTTCTGGATAAAAGTCAACAGACATCAGAAAATTTTGTTTAAATTTCATCTACACAGCAAATATTAAGGAGTAAAAATCTGTTATATGTGAGTTAGAAAAACTGTTAGTAATTATATCTATCAAGTTCTTGAGTTTGTATAAACTAGGTGCTGTGCAGAAATATTCAACAAACTTCAGTGAAATTTAAACCCAGCCAAGAATAAATTTGATACAACCTAAATGCTGGCTCAGGGCTTGCAGATGTCATTGTTTTAACTATCCATTTCCATGCTAAATCTTTTGTTTTAATGGGAAAAAATGACAGGAAAACCATTACTGTTTACATTCCTGGATAATGTTCCAAAATAAATAGCAAGAATATTTTCAAAATGTTCATATTGAAATAATGAAATAATCATATGAACATGACAAACTATTTTAAATCATGTGTTAAAGGTTTAAATCACATCAACTCTATAACAAAGCTCTAAAAGTATATAAATGACTGAAGAACAGTCATTACTTCTCTCCTAATATATATATAATATGAAGTTTGAGGTAAATAAGTGAGAATCTAGTAATTGTACAGTTAATTGAAATCAAACTTCAAGGCAATTAAGTCCCAAAAAATAACAACAAAAAAACAAAAAATTCATAGGGAAAACTGACCATTACTTTTACCATACCATATGGGCCTGGAGAGGCATACAAAATGTGAATGATTCCAACCACACATATTTTATACCTTTTATATGAATCAGGTAGAAATTTGTCTACAATGACACTAAGCAAATGGCTCAAAGAGGATGACTTCCGACATTCCAGGTACTCATATTTCAAAGACTTATTTTGTCGTTCTACACCATTATTTGTGTTTATGCTGACATTAAACCTGTCTTGCCTTCGCACTTTTACCCATCTCTACAAAAAAATAACCAAAATTAGAACACCTATCTGTAATTATTTTTTTAATTTAAAAGTCATCCAAACCCACCCAAGCAAAAAGTATTGATCTGTTTTCAATATTCATATGCTCATATATACTGATAATTTTAAAAGTACCGTATTGATTTGCTTTCTATAAATAATCAAAGATTATATATTGTTGACAATACTTTTATTTATTTTGATGCTTTATATGATTATGGAATATTTTCTAGTGTTTCACCTCTTATTTTTTACGTGGCGAGGATCTTCAGCGGTCTCCACGTTTCAGATTGTAATAGATTATGGACCGTACACCAGAAAATCAGTATGTTGCAAAATATGATTCAGTTACAATAAATGATCTTATAAAAGCTACACTTACTTTTAATTGATTTAGATTTATCACAAATAGTTCAATTTTCTTGAACATTTACATGCTACTATTTTCTTTTAAATATGATCCTTCATTGGTTATTTTTATCAGTCAAATATCAATGTTTTCTGATAGATTGTTCCAATTGTTTCACTGTTTGATTGAATTTAGTAACACACCTTTTTTTATTTTCTTTATCAATTTATAACTCACTTTGCCCCATCTCATGCTTCATCCATTTCATTATTTATATTACGTCTGTATAAAAGTAATTATCTTTGAATGTTTCGAATGTGCTTATCACTCGTATTTCTTATATATATAGATTCTTACATTGATACCAGTGGATTATTGGATTTATCCAAACGAGATAGTTAAATTATCAATTTTAAAGTCCGAGCCTTGGCGATTACTGTAAAATTTATAATTTAACTATCGAGATTGGATAAATCCGATAATCTACGAGTAACCATGTAAGAATCTGTTTCTCTAATGATTAAAAAATAAATTTTCATTTTTTGTTAAACGAAAATCCCCTTCGAGTGCCTTCCACATTCCACAAAGTTGTCAATTTCATTAACACCTGTTAGAATTTTTTTATTCATCCAGTGAGCTGATAAAGGTTATGACCCTTAAACTCATCCAATCATCTTCTGAGATCACCGGCAACCACACGTTGATTAAATTTTTTTATACAATGGGTGCAGAAAGGGATAAATTGTCATAGAATTAGAGAAAGTTTTATATACGACTTATCAGGCCTTGTTAATTTTTCTTGTAAATTTTTGTGTCTTTTATATGCTATAACTGTTTTCTTTCTTAAAATTCTTGCGAGTTCAGGGTCATTCTCTATCAAATCCCAATAATTGATCTTTTTAATTGTTTCACTGCTTGGTTATATTTAGTGATAAAGATAATCGTTTTAACGTCTGGATTTTCAGTGTTAGACAGTAAATCATTTCATTCTAAGTTTGAGGTAGATACAATCGCTTCATCTATTTCTATTTGCTTATAATTTCTTTGTAATAACTTCTCAAAATGAATTAATGATCTTGGTACGTTCATAAATATCGTTGGTGTTTTTTATATGAAGGATAATCTCTCCTTTAATGAAACCTTTGAATACGCTTTTAGGATGACAACTCTTTCTATCTAAGTATTGAAAAGTTTCTGTTGGTTCTCTGAAAGTCTTAAGATCTAGGATTCCAGAGTCTAAAAATCTATTGCCTTTATATACTTCAGTATCTAAAAATATAATTTTCTCTGAAGATATTTCGTAGGTGAATTTTAGGTATTTGTGTGCATTTTTGCCGTTATGAAAAGTTCTTGGAGTTCGTTTTTGTTACCATTAAATGATAAATCCATCATCTCTATATCTACTGCAGAAAGCTATTTTGTCTCTATGTAAATACTTTGATAATATATTTTCCAAAATTTCAAACATTCTTATATCAGCTAATTCTGCTGATGCAGCGCCTCGCATCGGGACACCAATTTCCTGTCTGTATGGTTTACTGTTAAATGTGAATTCATTATTCTTCAATATAATTTCTAAAGATTTTATTATATCTTCAATGGGAGGAATTTGAAAGGGATAATTACTGCAAGTTAAATTCTTTGTTTCTCTTCTGACAGCTTTAATTATTTCAGAATATTTTAAGTTTGTATACATATTGCTTGCATAGAATAACTTACAACTGCCTTATTCAACCAGTACTTGGAAAACCAGTTCCTCAATCTGGAGTTGTTCTTCCATATATCACTTTCCTGTACACAAAAAATATCTCAATTGATAATTGCTAGACTCAGAACCATTATTTCAACAACAAAAATCAAGACAGACAACTTATCGGAGTAATTTATTGTTTTATTTATTGGTACATAAATATTACAATTTGATGTTAGCATTTCAAATCAGCATATAATACTGAAGAAGGATATTTGTTATAATAAATACTCATTATCAATTATTAATAATGAAATTTGGTTAACTTATACCATAATTTCATACTTATTTTAAACATTGTATAGATACATTTTAATCTTCTAATATATATTAAAGATATTTATTGCACAATTTCAGATTGGTTAAATGATTTGGAGATCTCAAAATGCTGATCACTTTTGCAATATATACTGTTTCTCTGAAGCTTTTATGGTGTTTATATTGTGAATAATAAACAGAAAATTTTGTCTCAATCGTCATTAAGGGGATATAACTCCTACAAGCTGTTATCTCTCAGGCTCTGAACATTAAAATTTTTTTGTATATATCGGTGTGCTGATCATTTTAAGACAATAATAACAAGCAATAGTTTACCTCAAGTTTGATGATTGCAGATTCAAACTCTTCCTCAGAACTTGATCTTGCAATAGCCCTGAATAGAGCTAAGGCCGTTTCTTTTTGGTTAATGAGGCCATTATGTGTTGTTCCTAGCCATCTCTCCCAACTCTGCTCCCTGTGGAAATCACAGAGATATACCATTGTACCTGCCATATTAAAGAATAAAAAAAATCACTACAGTATCATCCTTCAAAGCAAACAAATTAAATGATGTCACTGCAATTACACAAACATATTGAACATGTTGAACTAGGTGTAATGAATATCAAATACTTCAACTTTCAGGTAGACTCATATACTTTGATGTTGTATTTCCTATTCCTTACCCTGTATACACATGCTCCATAAATAACTGTGCATGGAACAAAGTGCATACAAGGAAAGAGTTCAGATATTTCCTGCCCTTTAACTTATATTCATTATCAACTGGCTCCTAGATTGAGAAAAGTATAATATTATGATGTTACATCCACCACCAAATACAAACATTTAAGCCAGAAAATAGTATATAAATTTACAACGATATATATAATAGTTGTCATTGTATCTTACAAATGTGTTATAAACACTTCTAAGTTATAAAGGAAAAACATGTATATACATAGATATTTTGAGTTTAAAACAAAAAAGTTTCCAACAGCATTTATTTAGAAATTGTTTTAAATCAATTGATATTTCTAGAGTGTATATATATTTTGTTTGAAGAGTTAAACTAAACAACACTGATAAATATATAAAATAAAAGTAATAATATAGAAATATATATATATAGGTGAGATAGTACCATGAGCGAGGATGTAGGAAGTGAAAGTTGAATGATCAATATATATTAAAGCATGATTGTGAAGTGTAAAAGCACAAATTACCACATATAGCAATAGAAATATACTTACTTCAAGTCAACTAAAAAATGAGCAATTCAAATTTATATTTCAAATATTTCATATTGACTAACTCTCATTTATAAATTACATTAAAAACTACAATCAATTATTTATATGCTTTTCTATACTTGGTGAACTTTAGGAGTATCAACTTAAGGCAAGAATTACACTTTAACCTTACATTTAATTAAAGTATGAAATAGAAAAATCAGAAATGGTATACTCTCGAATGAATCCATGATATCTGCTTCATTCATACCTGGAAAAACATCCTCTAAAGCTGTAATTTCTTCATCACAGTAATCTGCCATGAAGTACCTTGGCTTCCATTCAGGATTCCAATGCTTTAAAATATTTAAAGCCTCCTTGATTGAATTACGGTCCTCTGTTTCCAGGACAAACGAAGCAACAGTTATGTAATTAACATTTGTTGGAACACAGAGAAAGTACAGTGGCAAAGCATATTTAGTGGTCCTGTACGTTGCATCAAGCAAGGCAATCTCGTTGCCATACCTTGCTAGCAAACGTCTCTGCCAAGGTGTCTGATGTATGTACAGAAACTTTTCTCTGTTCCCACAATACAAAGTTGCCATTTCGTCGTTGAAGAATTCTTCACCATCAGCATCTGGAATGGCTAAAAAAAAATTTTCAAGAAATTATAAAAGCAATCTTTGATCTCACATGTTGAGGTGTTTTTTAGTCAAAGAGTAAATAAAATGCTCCGCTGGGTGCAGCTTGATATGACCACAGAGGTCGAACCCTGAACAGTTGGGGCAAGTATGGACACAACATTCAAGCTTGATACAGCTCTGAATTTGAATTGTGATAAAATATTTGACACAGTATAGGTTTCTGACACAGAATTAATGTGGTCTAAGAACTTAAAAAATTTAAATTGGACATTCACCTATTATGGTCCAATATCCAAAATCTAAATGCATGGTTAGATTCAGCATATCAAAGAACCCTAAGAATTCAATTTTTTAAGAAATCAAATAAAGTTCAATTTTGGACCCTTTAGAACTCAATGTGGACCAATTTGATAAAGGGGCCCAAATATCAAAAATCAAAATACATGTTTAGATTCAGCATATCAAAGAACCCCAAGAATTCAATTTTTGTTAAAATCAAACTAAGTTTAATTTTGGACCCTTTGGACCTTAATGTAGACAAATTTGAAAACGGGACCAAAAATTAAGAATCTAAATACACGGTTAGATTCGGCATATCAAAGAACCCCAATAATTCAAGTTTTGATGAAATCAAACAAAGTTTAATTTTGGACCCTTTTGGCCCCTAATTCTTAAACTGTTGGGACCAAAACTCCCAAAATCAATCCCAACCTTCCTTTTGTGGTCATAAACCTTTGTTAAAATTTCGTAGTTTTCTATTTACTTATACTAAAGTTATTGTGCGAAAACCAAAAAAATGCTTATTTGTGCCCCTTTTTGGCCCCTAATTCCTAAACTATTGGGACCAAAAGCCCCAAAATCAATCCCAACCTTCCTTTTGTGGTTATAAACCTTGTGTTAAAATTTTATTGATTTCTATATACTCATACTAAAGTTATTATCCGGAAATAATCCGTCTTTGGACAACGATGTCGACGTGATACCAATATACGACCAAAAATTTTTTAATTTTTGCGGTCGTATAAAAAGGACAATCATGCAGATGATGCATTCATTTGATTTTGATTTAAAGGATGCACAAACAGAAAAACAAATAACCGGCTAATAACATTTTTTATCTAAAATATATAACATAAAATAAAAGTAGAGCAGGTGGAGAGAAGAGGTTGAATTTTACTGATTCAATATGTACTGAACATGACAAAATGACCTCATAAAATTTGGTTTTCAAATATTAAGTGTTAATTGAGAAGTTTTAACGATCAGAAAATGGCCATATATTATTTCGACATTGCTGTGTTAAATTTGCTTACAGATTTTTATAAGTTAACTTGAATTTTGTAATTTCTGAGCTATAAGGGGTCACACCTAAAAATTTCAACTTCATTTGGTCAGATTAATTTCACCATGAACAAGTCATGTTGTCTGTCCATTACCTTCTGGTGTTGTTGGTTCAAAAGACTCCTGTTCTTCCTTCTTTCTCAGGAAAAACTCATCAGCAGGGAACTGGCTCTTCCACTCAGCTACTTTCTGTTCTACTATTTTCTAAAAAATAAATATATAAAAATACTCCATAAGGCAAGACTTCTAAATGCTTGGTACATACTATTAAGTCTTCAGGGGATACTTCTTTTTTTTTTGTGTATTTTGCATGAATTAAGGTATTATGCTATCAGATTATACTTTACATATTTTATTTAAAAATTGAACGCTTCTTTTTATAATTTTATTGGGGTGTAAAATTGTTGACCGAAGCACATTTTGAATGAATAAAATTGAGAATGGAAATGGGAAATATGTCAAAGAGACAACAACCCGACCAAAGAGCAGACAACAGCCACAGGCAAACAATGGGTCTTCAATGCAGCGAGAAACTCCCGCACCCCGAGGTGATCCTCAGCCGGCCCCTCAATAAAATTGTGTGCTAGTTCAGTGAAAATAGACGTCACACTAAACTCCAAAACATATAAATGAACTAAAATTAAAAAACATAAAAGACTAACAAAGGCAAGAGGCTCCTGACTTGGGACAGGAGCAAAAATGTGGGAGGGTTAAACATGTTTTGTGAGATCTCAACCCTCCCTCTATACCTCTAGTCAATGTAGAAAAAAGAAACACATAGCAATACGCACAGTAAATCTCAGTTTAAAAGAAGTCTGAGTCCGATGTCAGAATAGGTAACAAAAGAAAATAAGCAAAATGACAATGATACATAAATGAACAAAGGACTACTAGCAGTTACTGACATGCCAGCTCCAAACCTCAATTAAACTGATTGAAAGATAAGGTCTTCATCATAAGTTTGAAGTGCTTCATATCAAAACCATGTGCACGATCAACTTTTATGGGAATATAAAACATGATATTGGGGGTGTCTTGAGATTGCTGTCAGACAATCAAAATTACAGATTATAATGACACATACTTATAATGTAATGATTTAGTTATTATAATTTGTAGTCTGTTTGTTTTTTCAGGTTTTTCATGTAGAACATTAACAATTAATTAATCATGTTAATATATTTTCTATTGGTACAACATATTTAATAAGAAGGTGACATAGACAAAAATACTTGTATTTATAAATATAGAAAAAATAAAGCATTATTACTTTTCCAGAGTTGTTGTAATAAATTCAAAGTGTGTTTTCCATGGTATCAACAAAAATACTCATCTATTATTTATCATAATTAGTATGTATAAAAACCTGATCAACGTTGCTGTTTCTTATTTCCAGTAGTCCAAGAAGAATATTATTTCTGATGACTTTCAAGGTTGGCCAGAATCTACTATTTATGGGTGATGGTAGTTGTTGGTCTTTAAACAAATCATTTTTAATGTAAACATCAAGAAGCAATTTCATTTGAGTTGACGAAGTAATGTTGCTTTCAGCCACCATTTTCCTTATATATTTTTTTATCCTTTCATCAAGTGGTTGTATCAACATACCTATCTGTAAGAAAAAGAAGCATTTGGTTTTTTTTTTTTTTTTTTTGCTAATGATTAACCAATTGCATTTTGAACAGATATATCATGTTATGGAGGGGTATTTGCGAAAAATACCAGTCAAGGGATAGTGGAAATTTCCCAAGCCGGTAGACGAGCGAAATTTGGTCCCAAGACTGGTATTTTTCACAAATACCCCTCCATAACATGATATATCTGTTTAATTACACCGAAAAGATTTTGATTGAAACTGTCTGTACATGTGAAGGGAAATCATAGTACAATGGGAATTATACATGTACTTTTATGCGTTAGTGCTGTCTTTTTGTAAAGTCATGGTATCTATATGTGTAAACGTCATTGTTATTCCATCATTAAATCGTTCATTTGTATAGACATTTTTTCCCCCTCTTTATATGTATATTTCTTACAGTTTTCGGTTTAACTCAATCAATAGTGCCTAACCATGTTGTCGGGATAAAGTGAGAAAGGTTCCGAATAATTTTGGCGGGAACAGGCTCGTGAGTGTAAAAAAGGAATATCCAAAATGGCAAATACTACGGCAGAGAGGGGAATTTGAGGCAAATTCACTAGCAGTAGTGAAAAAACAGGCAAATTTGTTTGAAATGAGGAAAAAATGTTAGAATATGCGAAAAATACACTGGCTAACAGCCAATCAAAATCCTGCATTCTTATATAAGGAGTAATTAATATTTATATATTGACAAGTTGGGGTAACTGGGTGATTAGTTTGGATATTCTGGCATCTGGTAGTGTATCTGATTCATTGGTTTGGGTACCTGTCTGGGTGGCTGTTCTAGAGTATCATTGTGACTAGTTGGCACAACAGAGTAACTGGTTGGGGTATCTGGAAGACTAGTTTGGGTATCTAGGTGACTAGTTGGAACAACAGAGTGACTGGTTGGGGTATCTGTAAGACTACCAGTAGTTTGGGTATCTAGGTGACTAGTTGACACAACAGAGTGACTGGTTAAGGTATCTGGGTGACTAGTTGGCATAACAGAGTTGGTGTATCTGGAAGACTAGTTTTGGTATCAGGTTGACTGGTTAGCATATCAGGATGACTGTTTGGGATGTCAGGATGACTGGTTGGGATGTCAGGATGAGTGGTTGGGATATCAGGGTGACTCATTCAGGTGTCAGGGTGACTGGTTTGGATGTCAGGATGACTGGTTGGGATGTCAGGGTGACTAGTTCAGATGTCAATATGACAGGTAGGGGTGTCAGGATGACTGGTTAGGATGTCAGGGTGACTGGTTGGGATGTCAGGATGACTGGTTGGGACGTCAGGATGACTGGTTGGGATGTCAGAGTGACAAGTTCAGATGTCAGGATAACTTGTTGGGACGTCAGGATGACTGGTTGGGATGTCAGAGTGACTGGTTGGGATGTCAGGATGACTGGTTGGGATGTCAGGATGAGTGGTTGGATTATCAGGGTGACTGGTTGGGATGTCAGGATAACTTGTTGGGACGTCAGGATGACTGGTTGGGTTATCAGGGTGACTGGTTGGGATGTCAGGATGACTAGTTGGGATGTCAGGATGACTGGTTAGGATGTCAGGGTGACTGGTTGGGATGTCAGAATGACTAGTTGGGATGTCAGGATGACTGGTTGGGATGTCAGGGTGACTGGTTGGGATGTCAGGGTGACTGGTTGTGATGTCAGGATGACTGGTTGGGATGTCAGGGTGACTGGTTGGGATGTCAGGGTGACTGGTTGGGATGTCAGGATGACTAGTTGGGATGTCAGGATGACTGGTTGGGATGTCAGGGTGACTGGTTGGGATGTCAGGGTGACTAGTTGGGATGTCAAGGTGACTGGTTGGGGTATCTGGATGACTAGTTTGGATGTCAGGATGACTGGTAGGGATGTCAGGATGACTGGTTGGGATGTCAGGGTGACTGGTTGGGATGTCAGGGTGACTGGTTGGGATGTCAGGATGACTGGTTGGGATGTCAGGATGAGTGGTTGGATTATTAGGGTGACTGGTTGGGATGTCAGGATAACTTGTTGGGACGTCAGGATGACTGGTTGGGTTATCAGGGTGACTGGTTGGGATGTCAGGATGACTAGTTGGGATGTCAGGATGACTGGTTAGGATGTCAGAGTGACTGGTTGGGATGTCAGAATGACTAGTTCAGATGTCAGGATAACTTGTTGGGACGTCAGGATGACTGGTTGGGATGTCAGAGTGACTGGTTGGGATGTCAGGATGACTGGTTGGGATGTCAGGATGAGTGGTTGGATTATCAGGGTGACTGGTTGGGATGTCAGGATAACTTGTTGGGACGTCAGGATGACTGGTTGGGTTATCAGGGTGACTGGTTGGGATGTCAGGATGACTAGTTGGGATGTCAGGATGACTGGTTAGGATGTCAGGGTGACTGGTTGGGATGTCAGAATGACTAGTTGGGATGTCAGGATGACTGGTTGGGATGTCAGGGTGACTGGTTGGGATGTCAGGGTGACTGGTTGTGATGTCAGGATGACTGGTTGGGATGTCAGGGTGACTGGTTGGGATGTCAGGGTGACTGGTTGGGGTATCTGGATGACTAGTTTGGATGTCAGGATGACTGGTAGGGATGTCAGGATGACTGGTTGGGATGTCAGGGTGACTGGTTGGGATGTCAGGGTGATTGGTTGGGATGTCAGGGTGACTGGTTGGGATGTCAGGATGAGTGGTTGGGATATCAGGGCTACTGGTTGGGATGTCAGGATGACTAGTTGGGATGTCAGGATGACTGGTTGGGATGTCAGGGTTGGGATATCAAGGTGACTGGTTGGCATATAATGGTGACTGGTTGTGGTATTAGGATGACTAGATGGATATTAGGGTGACTGGTTTGGGTATTTGGGTGACTAGTTGGATATCCAGGTTACTGGTTTGGAAATTTTTGTGACTGGTTGGGATATCAGGGCTACTGGTTGGGATGTCAGGGTGACTGGTTGGGATGTCAGGGTGACTGGTTGGGATGTCAGGATGAGTGGTTGGGATATCAGGGCTACTGGTTGGGATGTCAGGATGACTAGTTGGGATGTCAGGATGACTGGTTGGGATGTCAGGGTTGGGATATCAAGGTGACTGGTTGGCATATAATGGTGACTGGTTGTGGTATTAGGATGACTAGATGGATATTAGGGTGACTGGTTTGGGTATTTGGGTGACTAGTTGGATATCCAGGTTACTGGTTTGGAAATTTTTGTGACTGGATGTGGTATATTGGAGACTGGTTAGGGTATCTGAAGTTGGGATATTTTTGTGATCCTGATGACTGGTTTGGGTAACTTGGTGAGTAGTTAGGATATATTGGTGATCTTAATGACTGGTTAGGGTATCTGGATAGATAATTGGATATTTTGTTGACTGGTGTGGTTATCTGGATGTCATTATTTCTCTGTGAATAGTTGGGATATTTCAGTGAATGGAGGGGGGGAGCCGGAGGGGTTATATACATATAAGAGACTATTAATAGGCAAATAAGCTAATATTCATATAGTAAATATTCCTACGAAACAAATGAACTTCAAATATGACAATCAGTGTTAGTGAATGCATATATCTAAAATAAATCTAAATCAAATGAAGTTTGCATGACCCAGACCTGACAGCATTATTTTACCTCTCCTGTAAAATGGTTCTGGTGGGTATCTGGAACAGAGATAAGGTAAACATGTTGCACAGCTACATCATCCTCTTTGTCTATTGCATTGTGGATTTTAGCTGACAGTCTTTCCCTTCCATATCGTGTGTTATCTTCTAGCTGCAAAAGTATGATAAATATTTAATATATCAAACAAATTTTTAAATCTATGTTCTTCTATCAGTGACAAATGAAAAGAAAATGCATTTCTATTTCGTTCAGCTTGACTTAAGGTATAACTTAATATGAAGTATGCTTGATAATTTGGAATTTCTGAATTTCAAGTATATAGTATGACAGGAGGATGGATGTCCAATTTGATACATCCTATTTAGAATACATTCTCCAAATTTTCATACATTGTTCCTCATTGGTTAATTATATCAGATATCACATTAAAAATGATTTTATTGATAGCCGTTATTAATTCTCAGATATATCCAGGTTTTAAATGTAATTGTACTGTGAATATAGACCATTCCTTCACTTTTATTTGGGGCTTTCTTGAGCTGAGGATGAGGATTACATGTTAACCTCTTGTCCCTTTTTTAATCAATAATACTTTTGGATACTATAATGTGATGTCTCAATTAGGTATACTCCATATCAATCTATCTGATTTGCTTACTCTTTTTTTCTTTTGTATTGCAAGTTTTTACGTACAGTGTTGTATTCAAACCAATTTTATTGAATATGATGTGAGCATCTGTTCTACATTAAAAGCCCTATATCAGATTGTATTAACAGTTATTAACTAATGAGTTCACCTTGAAGTCTGTAAACTTCATTACATGTCTGATTCTAATCATTGCTGGACAATTTTTCTTTTTGGTTGTCTGCAAATGATTTCTTTTCTTTCTGTAATCATGATCAGTCTACAAAGAGATTTCATTTAAATTTGTAGCTCACAAAATTGATTCTTTACAAGTTTACCATTTGCATAAAATAAGCACAATTCTTCAAGACGTAACTGGTTTGACAATAAAGGCAACAATTGAATATAAACTTGTAATAGCATTAGAATAATAACATGTTTGGGTTTAAATTTTTAATAAACTACATACCCGCATACAATTGCTGAACTTAAGTTTAAAAAGCAAATTCAAAAACAACACAAAGCTTTGCTTAATGACTTCCTTAATGACCTTAAGATTATTCTTCTTCAGAGACATTTTTGTATGGTGTACTAACTTTGTGTAGTTTTTGTTTAATCCCATGAAACTGTTAAGGAGGTGGTGTATATTATAATACATGTGCATAACAAAACCATTTGTAAAACAAACAAAACAGTTATCATGATTGTTCAATTATCTCCTATCAAAATTATTATTTTCTTCAACATCTTTCTGCACTGTACTACCCAGGGCTTCCAACATTTCCTGACGACAGCCGGACATTTTTCAAAGAAATATTTTTGACGGTCAATGATCAGCTGGATATTTAAATGTAACTGAGCTAGAGGATGCATAAATTGATATATGTGTCTAAATAATTAGGAGTGTTATATGCAATAAAATTATTTATAACTGTTTTGTTTTCTTCATTCTAAAAATAAATAAAATTTTATCCTCGGTATTGTGTCATTTTTCTGTGTATCGTAATACAGTAACCATCATTACATCAATCAGCTTCAGTACCTGACTGTTCTCATGTTTTTGTTTCTGTTTATATAATCTATCTTCTCTCTGTGAGTACTTAACACTTTGTAAATGAAGGCCATCTTATTTGAAACTGTTGATGTTGGCTTTAATTGCAGTACAACTTGATCATCAATACACTGATACTTTTCTTTTTGTGTATTGATTACCTGACCACATGACTTTTACAACTGATGCGGTATTTATAGATAACATTGAGGAGGCCCAATGAAGGATATTGTTTTACACCGTGTAAAATATACTGAACAGTGATAACATTTTTCTTTGTACAATTTCCAAACCTGATTTAGAAAATAAGTAAAAATGTCACAAAACATGACATTTAGCATGACCGTTTTGGAAGCCCTGGTACTACCTACTTTTTGTAAAGTTTCACTGAAATATATGTATGTAGGAGAACTTAAGAACAACATGGGCAAATTATCTCCCCTTCAAGTTGATGAGGTCAGACGATAATAATTTTACTTTATCCTTATCAGTTAATATTCAATACCAATCAAAACATAAATATAGTAAGATTGTATAGTTTGATCACACTGACACAGACTTACTTAAAAGCTGTATGTACAAGATTGATGGACAGAGACTGAGGGACAGGGTTGTTTCTATAAAACTGTACCCCTGAATTTTTTATTGTATGGGGATGTTACTAATCATGAAATGAGGTGAGCATTTCATTTTATAAACTTATATGTTTAAGATTTGTGAACAAATAAATAAATAACATTTCTGGTCATCAGTAAATGTAATGTTAACAACTCCTTGACAAGTTCAAGAACCAACCTGGAATAGCCAAGAAATACCATGTACAGCTCACCTCTTTGTTTCTGAGCAACTGTGCTCTTTCCTTTTTTTTCTTTGACCTGTCCTTGCCTTGATGACATTCCAATGTTTTCTTCCCTCTGATTATAAATGGGACACCATCGTAAGGGATAGGTGGAACAGCATCTTTCTGTGTGTCATCATATCGTATGGTAAATGTGTTCTCTGATAGATCTAAATAAACCAATATTTATATATTAACTACTTACAGTCAGGGGTACTAATTGCACAAGTTATTTTTATTTACTTGAAGAAGTAAATATAAATATACTTATATAAGTAAATTTGTAAGATACTTATTCAAGTGTATTTTATTTACTTGTATAGGTAAATTATTTTAATGGCTTAGTTATGTCCCTTAGACATTCAGATTTTTTTTACTTGTACAAGTAAAAAAGTCATACTACATGTATCTTCTTTTCTTTAATTTCTCAGCACTTCTTTGCTCTAATAGAATTTTTAATTGTCTGTCCTTTGCAGATGTTTTTACTAATTATTTAAATGTAATTTCATGGACAATGAAAATCTCATTTGTCTGTTATCTTCAAAACACTGCTCATTAACAAGCTCCCAAGAGGCAATTTTTGAAGGCCTTGCGCAATTACGTAAGATCTTTGCTCAATTAGTTTCTTTGTTGAATTAATGAGATGAAACGTTGAACTATAATAAAAAATTATGAGCTAACCAGAGAAAAATTGTTTAAGGCATGTTTTTACATCCCAAAACATGAGAATTTTAGGGATTGTAAAAAAAAAATTACTTATACAAGTAATTTTTTTAAGAAAACTAAGGGGAGATTATTCAAACCTTTAGAAGAAAATATTGATTGATTGATTGTTGGTTGCTTAATGTCCAGTGGCAAATATTTCATGCATATTCAGGACGAGAACAAATTAACAATAAATACAATAGGTAGGTTCTGTAATAGGGGCTTCCGGGATTAAGGTCGGAGAAATTTAGACTGCCACAGGAAATGAGGGTATATTGGATAGGGACAGAAATTTAGCCGTGCAACAGGTCACCTACGGACCCCTCAAAGAGTTGTTGCAAGGGTTCTTAACGTGTAAAGAGCGTGGCACTCTCTTTACATGAGGCATCGGATTTAACGTCCCCATTCTGACAGGACGTGGCTGCAAATTTGTACATCCCGCACAGCCAAACGGATGCCCCACTTTAGCAAGGGTTTTACTGCCGGTCGGAGGAAGACCAATGGTGACCATACTTCTATTCCCCAGTCACCCTTGGGGAGAGAAGAAAATATGAATATAACAAATTTACTTATATAAGTATATTATTATTTACTTCTTCAAGTACTTGTACAAGTAATACCCTGACTGACTTATTTAATTGGCTTTGAACTAGCTTTCAGTAACTAGGAGTACTCTTATAACATTGTTTTGAGTCTATTGTTTTTATGTTAGTTGTTTTTGTGCCTAATCTATTGAGTTAAGCCATTTACAACTAATTTTTAGAGTGTTTTTCTTATGTTGTTAAGGGAGGATTGAGTGCTCACATACATGTTTAACACCACTATCTTTATGTTGCTGTCTCGAGTCAGGAGGCTGTAATTTAGTGGTTTTTAGTTTTTTGTTAATAGTTTTGTTATAAATTAAGCCTTAGTTTTCTTGTTTGAATGAACACTACATCTCCGTAGGGTGATACTATTTGATTTTTATGGGGGCTAGGATGAAAAATTTTGTCCTGCATTTTTTTTTAGTTGTAATCTCTACCCTGCCTTTTTATTTTCCACTCTATTTGGTCCTGCTTTTTTTTTTTAGTTAATCCTGACTTTTTTTTACCTAAATTGTCATCCTGACTTTTTTTTTTACAAGTGTCTCATCCTGCCTTTTTTCTCAAAACTCCTGTCCTGTCTATTTTTTCAAATTTCATCCTAGCCCCCCCCCCTAAAAATCAAATGGTAGCTCCCTTATTACTTTTTATAGTGTCTATCTATAAATAAATTATTTTTTTTCTATGGAGTATTTTGAGGATGTGTTTTGTCTTTTCTTCGTCTTTCTTTTTCTACCAATGGCATTATCGGTTTCTCTTTCCATTGGTATCTTAATTCCGTCTCTCTTTTACAGTTTTTATCGTAATATTAGTATTATTACCACTAAAACTAAAAGCTCTATATCGTGTGTATCAGTTGTGGTTTACCTATATTTTCTTTTCCAAAGTTTTTGTCAGATTTCAAAATTCTGTAAGTTGTTGAAGTTTCTAACTCATGCAGATTTATCAGTTTTTCCACAGAAAAAATATCATATAGTATATCAGTTGTCATCCTTATGCTTGCGTATACTATTTCATTTTAGCGGGGTTTTCTAATAGTACACAATTATTGATGATGTAGGTATATAGATACTGCTCAAAACGAAGACGTAAATATCCGTAATTTTGACTGGTGAGAAACTAGTTCGTACCGCTGAAAGAAGTTTGGTCAATTATGTCTTTGTAACCCTCTAAAGACGGCTTGAAAGTGCTATTTGTTTGGGGAAAAATGTAGTATAATCACGAATTTAGATTGCTAATCAGACAAAACACAACACCTTTGACTGAAGTGAAGGACTCCTGTTGGGATCATGGAAATTATGTTGGTGTTATTGAAGGTATAGATGATGCATGTTGACAGTTCATGAGTTACACATTTTAACTTTCCTTTTCCTCAATGTGGGAAAATTAAGTACATTTCATATAGGAATAACTTCTGAGGACAGAACTTTACTTTCTTTAAAAGAAAAAGTTATAATAATAACCCTGAGCACACAAAAAAATCATAACGTTAAATAAAGGAGTTAAAACTTTTTCTCGGGTATACTTAGCACTAAACTTGCCTGGAAAGACGTTACTTTACCTTTTTAGTCAATAATTAAAGGAAGCCAGAATTTAAAGGCATTAGTGGCGCAATAGTGCCAGAAAACTAATTTGCATACAAAATAAAAAACAATATCTGCATTGAAGCCACAACATGTTGCGGCAACGAAGCCACAGCATTTTCTGGCACCAGTGCCAGAAAACTTATTTGCATATGAAATACGCTAATGCAGCATCATTGCCACAACATGTTGGTGCAATGAAGCCGCAACATAGCCCTAATGTTGTCACAACTACATGTATTTATTCATGTTTACTTGAGATACATGTATGTTTTAAAATTCATGTTTTATGTACATACATGTACATGTATATGACCCAACAAAAAAGTATGTGGGTTAACTGTACACCTACCTACCCTAATTTCAGTATATGACCCAACAAAAAAGTATGTGGGTTTACTGTACCCTACTTACCCTAATTTTTGTCCCCTACCTTAAAGTTTTTTTGACTATTTTTGATTAAGTACTGTTAAAGTCACAATGTTGCTCCCATAGACTCAATGTAAAAAAAAAAAAAATCCCTACCTACCTACCCTTTTTTTTTCAGCAAGTGACAGTAAACACACATTTTTTTGTTTGGCCTAAATAGTTTTGATAGTGATACACAGAATGAGATCAATTGAAAAACTATTTGGAAATAACAGTATTGAGCATATTGAGGAGGTATGTCTTTTCATATACATATATAAATATGATTCCCTGTACACATGTATACTCAATAGTCAATAGTGAGTTTATTGTTATGTCGTATATATATATATATATATATATATATATATATATATATATATATGTATGGGATCCATATTGTAACTACATGTCAAACTGCATATGTACTCAGTTTTACTATGACAAGAATAAGAAGATCTTTCAATTCAGAAATAACATTAAACTTTAAAGTTCTAATTTGGTCTTCATATTCACTAAGCTTTTGCACATTTTATTTGGTAAACTAGTTTCATCATTAAGCATTAGTAAAAAATCTATTAAAATAAAAACCAAGGTTTTAATTGATCTAATTTACATGTACACTTAGGACCAATAGGGGTTAAACTATGCATTCATGCATGCATAATTGAGGGTAAATTAAGAGTAAATTTCTAAATCATTTGTGTATAAAACATACCTCAACTGAACCCTAACCCATTCATATATTACTAAACCCTCTAAGATAGGTTGGTTTTTGCTTCAATATTATCATGTGTATTCCAGAATTCATTATTGTTCCAATTTCAATTAGTACCTTGTTTAAAATATTCTTAAAAAGTTTTTCTTTTCTTTTAACTTAGGAGAACACTATTGAGACAAATACAAAGAACAAGATTGCAGAAGCTGAAATACTACCACCTTAAAGAAAGAGGGTAGGTATAACTGTATATAAAATAGTATCATTGCATACACTTTATAAGATGTCTCATAAACTTGACTTTATAAGATATCTTGTAAAAGTATTTAAGATATCTTGTATAATATCAGATTATTACATGGCATTTTTCATATCGCATGTATTATCAGCCCTAGGTTTAATATCAGCCCAAGAGCCGCATTGCTTGAGGGCTGATATTGGCCGAGGGCTGATAATACATGTGATATGAAAAATGACATGCTATGATCTTTTTATCATATGCTTCAACAATGGAGAAAAATAACAGATTAATATATTGATCTTTTTACGTGGTTCTTAAATAGCAGTTCAAAGAGTGAAATATTATAAGTTACATAGTGTGCTAGTGACCTAATACAGTATATATGGGGTCAGTAAATTCCATATGGGGTGAGAGCAAAGCTCGAATCCCCATATGGAATTTACTGACCCCATATATACTGTATTACGTCACTAGCACACTATGTAACGAATTTATCTTACCGACTATCTTAACCTGTGAAATTTAGACTAGTGACCTATCAAAATGAGCACTGAAGTCTTCAATACTTTGAGCATTAAGAAACTTCTCTCATTGATCCTACAAAAACAGCTGCCAACAATAACAACTTGTTAGGTTTAAATGTGCTTTATGAATTCATTTCAATCTTAATCATCAATTTCTTCGTCTGTTGAAATCTTTAAGATGTTTTCTCAATACCGTTTTGTTTTTATAAAGGGACGCAACACCACTACTAACCGTGCATGAAATAAGCCCCGCCTCCTTTCTAACCTTATATGGAATATAAAGGGGACGTAACTCCACTACTAACCGTGTATGAAATAAGCCCCGCCTACCTTCTAACCTTATATGGAATATAAAGGGACGTAACTCCACTACTAACCGTGTATGAAATAAGCCCCGCCTCCCTACAAACCTAATATGAAATATACACAGTCTCCACGCGGACGCTTTAAACCAATAATTTTCCTAGAAATGTATTGGAGGTAAGATAATCACGGATGTCAGACCCCAAATGTTATACAATCGATATGAAATCTTTCTATCATATGCCTCAACAATGAAGAAAAAAAAACAGTATGGTATATTTTAATACGGACGATAAAAAAATAATTCAACAATATACATAATAAACACTGTTTGGAAAAGTCAACTTTCTTAATTATGTTAAAAATGCATTTATTTTATCATTTGTTTATTGTTTGTTTTTTCCATTTTACACAATATACTTTCCAGTATCCAAATAATTGTTTTGTACCCTACTTTGTAATGTTTTTCACTGAAAACGTACCATTGAGGTGTATTTTCCAGAATTTGCTGAGTATTACCGGAATGCCATGCGATAACGTTACGGAAAGGCATGTGATAAACTTTTCATATCAGACCGCTGAGCACCAATTCGAAAAAAATATGGAATATACGTAAATGTAATGTTATTATCATATGGTAAAAAATCATATGTTATTTAGTCTAAGTATATGATAATATATTTTATATCTTTCATGAGAGATCTCATAAAGAAGTTTATAAAGATATCTCATAAACTTTAGAAGATATAAGATTTTCAAGATATCCAATTAGGAGCTAACTGTATTGAATTTGCAGATTTGGAGCCATCAATCATGGATTTGATGGTTGCAAATTGAGTTTACTAGCGACACGTTAGCAGAGCCAGTAAACGGATATTTGCAACCATCAAATCATAGATTGATGGCTCCAAATCTTCAGATTGATATATACCCTGAAAATTACGACTTTATCCAATGAAATTTGACGTACATATGTTACAACGAATGTTGCATTAGAATGAATGTTATAGGACATCTGATATAATTTATAAGATATCTTATAAAACAATTTTATAAGATCTCTTATTGTCCCCCACCGGAGGGGACATAGAAATACCGGTGTCCGTGCGTCCGTCCGTCCAAAATCGGTTTCTGGACTGTTACTTTTACACCTTCATATTATTTCTTCAAACTTACACAGTTGAATGTTATTAGGTACGGAAGATCCCTATTGATTTTGATGTTTCTAGTCATTCAAAGGTCAAGGTCACAAGTGCTTTATGGAAATATTATATTTTAGCACCAGTGGGGGACCCCGGAGCCTCCTCTTGTTTAGTTTATAAGATATCTTATTTATTTTTTTAGATATCTCATAAATTAGATATAAGATATTTCATTAACTTTATTTGATATCTTATCTTTTTATTCAGACATAGGAGCCCTATAGTAATCAGCTTTCCGTCTGTCCGTCACAAACAGTTTTCACAAAATAAATCAAAAAGGCTATCACAAATCAATGTGAAAGTTTGATGGCTACCTATCAAAAAGCAGGGATATCACTAGTGAGCAATGACTCACAGCACATCTTGTTTTATATTGTGTCTATCAGAATTCATTTAGTATCCAATCTTTTGTAGGCACTTGATAAAGTACCAGGGAAGCGTTACAGGGTGAAGTTTGTTGACACAATTCTTGATTTAGATGTAACCAAGAATAAAGAAACAATAACCAATATTACAAGTTTTTACAACTTTAGATTTGAGAGCAGTCATTTGAGGATGTGGCAGACATACAATATTGATGAAGGTATTACTTTTATATTCAACATAAAGAAAAAAACAGATTACAAATAACATATAGTTTTAAACATAACACAACCACTGAAAATACAGGGTCTGGCTTGTACACAGGTGGGTAAAAGAAGTCTATAAGTACTCAACCCTCCTCCGAAATCCTGGTTCAGAGGTTAAAAGTATATAAAGACAATTAAAAGCAATACCAATACTAAATTCAATAAGCTCAGCACTTCATCTTAAAACATAAAAAATTAAATCATCTTAATAAAAAGGTTGCATTAAGCCTATTGATAAAAAGACCACAAACTCCTAGACTAGAATGGATGCTATAAAAATTCACGTAATTTTATATCATAACGACATAAAAAATCTATAGAGTTTATGATATTGAAGTTGGTTATTTTTTTTAAACTTCCATATTGATCAATTTAACAAACAATAAAATGAATACAGGTTCTTTAATTACAATTTTCATTTCAGGAAAGCTTGTGACTTTAAAATCAACAAAGAATTCTGTGCAGTTAAAAGTACTCAATGACTGGACAGAGATGTCTTTTAATGACCTCATTACTGAAGGTAATTTTATAATTATTTCATTTACTAACTGTCATGTACAAAACTTAAGCACACTTGTAAGACAATGATCATTATTATATTTTGTCACAACAACCGAGAAAACCAACACAAAACTCAATAAACATTGTTATGCATCATTTAAATTCCCTGCTTGTGGGTTACAGGATTATGGGTATCGACAGAATCTTATTATAGATAATCAGGCTGCCCATTGTTGAAAGAGAAATTTATACATGTTGTATTGTTGTCCTTTTTAGGTCACCTGGCCCATTTTGAGTCCGTCTGGCATAAACTTTTTAAAAAAATCTTCTGATACAACTTGGCCAATTGGAACTGAACTTGGTTAATGTAGTAAATTTGAATTTTTCTATTTTTTTGGGAATCAATTTTTATTTTATTTATCCTCTTTTTAGGAACAGAACAGGCTTCAAAACAACAGAAGCAAACATTCATTTGGCTGCATTCAAGAGTTCAAGAACCAGATTAGTCTTGATCAACACTTCCTTCAAGTCAGCTGTGAATATAAGCTAGAGAAAGGCCCATTAAAAGATCAGGCAAAAGTTCTATATGCCCAAAAGCTGTCAAATAATGTACATCATTGTCCTGATATGCAAGCAGTCTTACTAGAAAATGCATGTACTACAGACTTGAGTGCCAAAGAAATGTGACGGGCATTGAAAGTGAAAAAGAAAACGATTTTCTTTAGCATCAAACAGAAAGAATTCATGACGGATTTATTTTATTTATCTTGAAAGGATGCAAGAAGCAGCCATATTGGATTCAACGACATTATATTTTCCCAATAAATAGGCGAAATAGAAAAAAAAAAACGCCTACCTTAAACTACTTTTAATAGCTTATATCCAAATTTGAAGCGTAAACAAAGCCCCAAAACATACTATGTTACAGTTTTACACTTGAAGTATTCATATGACGTCATGATGTTGCTATGAAGTTTATGTGTCAAAGAAGTCAACAACATTTTGTGGAATTTTTATTTTAAGCAACTATATGTCCAAATAAAAAACAGAAACAATATCTTTATTGACTATTGCATTAGAATGGATATAACTGTATTTTATTTTAAGGTTTGTGGACGTAAATCTAGATTTTACTGTTGCAATTATTCGTTTACCTAGCTCTGCTACAGGTCGCTAGGTAAACTCAATTTGCGACAGTAATATCTACGTTTTATGTCCGTAAATGTTAAAATACAATACAGTTATCTCCTAAATTACCTACACATGATTGCACCAATATGAGTTTAATATAATGAAATTTGCATGTACTTAGAAGGTGTTTTACTTTATTTTAAATATTTAAGTCGGACCAGCATTTTACCCACATTGCTTTATAAATAGCAAACTTTGTTGATCTGTATCAGTTAAAAACTAATATGCACAATCAGTTCTTTCTTCCCTCTGTATTCAATTACAAAATTAAATCTTTAAAAATGTAAAGATACATACTTAATTTTAGAAAGAAAAAAAAATTGTAAAATTTTCAAAATTCGGGTACCATAGCAACCATTTTTATTAAATTTCATTAAACAAAACTATTTTTCTGGACTGAAAAATTTAACTGATCAATTTTGTTAAATTGTAAGAAATTTAATGCCATCTTTGTATTGTTTAAATATGGAAATTACTTGGAACATTATTTACTTGTAGAAAAATACAATTTACAGAATTTGAAAATCTTGTGTTTTTCATTCATTAAAAATATTTTTTGCAAATATTTGCCCATTGATTTTATTTTATATTCTGGAAGACCTATATTGGTTCCTTCTAAATATACCTAACATTTTACTAGGAGACGCTGCATTCAAGAAAAAAATTCACTTGAATACCCTGTATTTACGCATTTTTCACTGAAATCCAAATTTGCCATATTAGCATATCTTTACTAGCTGGTAGCAAAATAACTGATAATGGTAAAAGTAAAACATATGTGAATTTCAAACAGCTTAAAGGTCAGTTATATTATATTATTCAGAAAAAAAGGATATGTTACACATAAATCAAGTACTAAACAGTGCAAAATGTTGTTTTTTCACTTTTTCAAGAGTTAAAATATGACCTTTTATTGCTAAAATCAACTTATGTGGTTTCCATGGCAACCAGAATATTCCGGAACAATTTGTTGCCTGTTATTGCCTTTGGGTATGGTACTGGCTATTATATAAAAGTTTCATCAAAATCTGAGACCATGTGTGCCAGACCCTATTAGAATTTCTTTGGTGGTTACAGAGAATTGCTCTTAATACATGTGGAAATCGATGGATCAAACTTGCTCAAGGAAAAACAAACATGTATGTACAAATATTGAAAAAAGAATGGTTAGGTTTCTAAAAAAAAGCTATATGTCAGCAACAAAGTTGTGTTGTGTAAACATAAGTAACAAAAAGTCCTTATTATAATATTTACAAAAAAGAAATATTAACAGCAATACATGTCCTTTCCTGGTGTTAGATTATTGTAAATATTTCGATCCCTTGAACAACTTATTCTAAATGGTAATTATCACGTCAATATTGTAACAAGGTCTATGAATATTGTTTTTATAGGGGCGAACATTAATAATTATCAATAATTTAAAACATAATTTAATATCATTGCTATACAGCTTTGACAATTCACTTTTCTACATTCTTTCGATATTTATATTAGGCTTTGCACAAGATAATGTTTTTTCTGGCCGTTCATTGCATCTTTACACTTTCGTTCTTTGTGTCGGTGTGATGAGACAAGCCTTCACAACTGATTTTTTATAGTTTTTTTTTTCTTTTATTATGTTGCTACACCATTTTCCAATGGTAGTGAAGGGTTGAGCTCCTTCAACCCCCCAAATTATGTGTATGCCTGCCTCAAGTCAGAAGCCTGTAATTCAGTGATTGTTGATAGTTGCTGTATTTCATATTCGTTTTTTTGTCAATTATATTTTGTACATAATTCAGGCCGTTAGTTTTCTCTTTTGAATTGTTTCACATTTGCCATGTGTGGCCTTTAAAACTAATTGCTTTGCAAGCTGTTCTTGTTAAAACTATGTTTAAACCTTTTTTGGGGGGAAAGTTGTCTCATTGGCAGTCATACCAATTCTTCTTTTCTTTTCATAAGCTTATAAAAATTAAAATCAATTGCTTATATCCACATCATTTTAACGCTGGTGGTTAGTCTCATTTGCAATAATACCACGTCTCCTTATAGTTATTTTGTAGATCGTAGAAAAGTGCATAATGATTTTGACATCAGAAATGTAACTATTTATTGAATTTGTACAATATGTATTCACTGTTTTGTTGGTTTTTAATTAAACAAAAGTGTACTTGCTCAATTGCCTCCTTTGTTCTATTGGTTATGATGGACCATTTAATCTAGGAGTTTCTAAATTTAAGTAAAACTCAGTGGCGGATCCAGGGGGAGGAGGTTCCCGGGGTTGGATCGCCCCCTTTTTTAGTCGATCAATGCATTTGAATGTGGACATATAGTTGGACCCCCCCCCCCCCCTTTTTACCCTTTTAAAAATGGTTGGATCCGCCCTGAAACTACATTTTAAAACAGACACTGAACATAATCAATGATCGATCAATGACATTTTTATTAGTATACAAGCAGGGGCGGATCCCGGGTTTTTAAAGTGGGGGTGTTCTTTGTAACTTTAGGCGAGTGAAGCGAGGCAAAACAAATTTTGGACCTTTTTTTGGCTAAAAAACATAAAATTAGTGCACTAATTTAATGGTTCCTGACGTTGAACATGTATATTTTATAGTTAAAGTGTAAGGGTTGGACATTTTTGATGCCGTATTCTCCCCAATAATTGTCTACATGTATTATAAAATGATTAGATGGATCTAAAGCTATATATGTACCAATATACTTGATGTGGATCAGTAAAAAATGGACATTGAAAATTCTCGTATGGTGTATGGTTAGTTAGAATAACCTCACAGATTTCTTGTCGTAAACAAGATATACAGCCATTCAATGAAATTTACAATACGACCGACACGAAGAAAGACAAAGGCAATTTTTATCCAAATTTATGGTTGAAATGTTTCACCCAACAAGGGAAGTGAAGGGTTCCAAATCAACCAAAGGCTATGAATGAGTCTGAAATGACAATGAAGTTGTGAATGCCGGTCAAGAAATGGAGACCTAAAGACAGCACCTAGCAGGCAGTTTGTAGTCGGTCCTAGTAAAAAGTACGCAGTATACCAGTTCGGCGAAACAGACAATCCAGTTACATCCCTCTCTTTAGTATAAACTCCTTTTGAAAACATTGAAAAAAAAATAAAATAGTAATTCAAATACCAATAAGAGTTTATTCACGGATCATTTGATTTTCTTGGCCTGGGATTTACATGCGAACCCCCAAAAAAAATTAAGCCCTTTTCTTATACTTTTAATGCTAAATAATTCTGTTGGAATTTTTTTTTTCTAATCTTTATCATCATGTAAGTGTAATAGAGTATTTAAACTCCTGTTGGGTGGAATTGTGAAATTGGAGTCAATACGTTCTTGCTTCATCCTTTGTGGCTTTGAAGGCGTCATGATTGTCATCCTCAGCCTTCAAAATGACTGAGTGACGTTTTTTCGATGTACTGGTCACCTCCACGGTAGCGCATGACGTGACTTTGACAAAACCAATAATACATTACATGTAAATACGAGCGAATAATAATGATCTTTATAAGTAACGAATAGACCAATTTCATATTACCGACATTTGACTCCGGGTTCTTCAATTATTCGACAGGTTACCTACTCTGTTGTAGGACAGGAACATATATATATTGTTCCAAAGGTAGGACATCCTGGTACTCGGTCAATTTTGAGCAGCCAAAAGAAGTAAAATCAAATATATGATCGATGCAATTCGGGGGGAAATTTACTGTTTTCCGATGATTTAGTCATGTATAGAGAGCATTTGAACAGTTAACTTTCCCTGAAAATTGTACCGATTAAAATCTTGAATTTACTTATTTACGTTGCTCTTGCTTGACCGAGTACCTGGATGTCCTACCACAGAGAAGGGAATCTGTCGAAAAAATATATACTTATTTACGTTGCTCTTGCTCGACCGAGTACCAGGATGTCCTTACCACAGAGAAGTGAACCTGTCGAAAAAATATAAATTCCGGAGTCAAAAGTCGGTAATATGAAAATGGACTATTGTCACATAAAAATTAAATATACGGCAAATGGTAAAGTTAACGAAAAGTAGTCTGATTAATCACTTTACAGTCTTAATTAAAAAAAAACGTAAGTAAAGAGGAGGCGTACGCCCTCTATGCCCCCCCCCACCCAAACCACTGGATCCACCACTGGTCAATTCAGGCAATCGATCTCAAATTAAATTTCAAACCCGCCCAAGCACACCTGCGAAATTAGAACACGCGTACTTTAAACGATCCAAAGTTACTGATCACGTACAGGATTGTGTACTTAATTATCTAATGGCAATCCTAGCTTACCTTAATTTGCATCATCACATGCGTGGCCTATCGCTAAGCACACTACATGTCACTTTGGTGGATATATGTCTCATTGGTAATCATACCACATCTCCCTATTTTTATATACTGCATTTGTTTACCTTCAATTTTATTGTATTTATATCAATACTCACGGTATGTTTCTCGGTAAACTCATACTTAGTTTTTGTAAAATAAAATATTTTTTTTGATTATTTTTTTTATTTTCCAAATACTAAGAATATAAATACAATAACATTGAAGGTTTTTAATTGTATTGTATTTATATTAATACTATATGTTTCTCGGTAAACTCATACTTAGTTTTGGGAAAATAAAATATTTTTTTAGATGTACGATTTTTCGTTCCCTATTGTTAATTTTCCTTTTTTGGATGGTGATGTTCCTTTGGCACCATCTTACGGTGTTTATATTTCACAACTCGATCGCTATGCCCGTATCTGTAGTGACGTTTTAGATTTTAACGAACGTAATCTATGTATTACTGGGAAATTATCAAGTCGGGGATTTCGTTACCACAAATTACTTAAAACGTTTACTAAATCCAACCTATGCCAACATTTTGAAATTTAGGTATAAAATTGTTTGAAAAAATGTTGGCATAGGTTGAATAATTTGTAGCAGATAAAGTGTTATAAAAACATAAATTGATTAGGGGCTAATCAATTTACAATGAGTTTAAACTTAGCGTTAGTGTGTACTTAATACCTTTTTTTACATGTACTAGTGAAAATGTAGGTAATTGAATGTGGATCTCAATTTCATATAGGAATTAATAAACAATTAATTTAATAAAACAAAGGAAAATGAAAATTTCTATAATTTTTTATTTAAGGAAAAATCATCTATTCATATTAAATATATACCAGTGTCATTCTCATGAATAATATAAAAATATATGATCAGAATATTTAATTATATTTCAAAAGGTTCCTTCAAATACATTGATCATGAGATACTGACTATCATGACTATTGCACTATTGAAACACATATTTCATAAATACTGACTCATGTAAAATATCTATTTTTATTGTTCACTATTAAATTTACAATATTGACACATACAGAGAATAAGATAAAGTTCACTAATATGATTGTCTCATAAATTCATACCCTAATTAATATGTAGAAGATGTGATACTGCATTCTGCACACTCAACTGGTTTCATGTTGTCATCCTTGGGTCTCTGGTTTAGGTCGGCTAGCCTATTGTCTTTTTCAATGTACTTTCTTTGAAGACGTTTACAACCTGTTGAGTACTGGATTATTCTAAACTCAATAGCTGCTTGCTGTTTCCTCAATGTTTACCATGTTGATGGCTCCGTCGACAACAGCATAGAAGGTATAGAGTCTCACAACCTCAGTGTTAACAAGCTAGTGATACAGTAGTTCGACTAGAACCACTCGGCCACCGAGGCCATTTTGGTATCCATTGTGGATTAAACTCTTATCTATTGGTGACAAACTGAATATCTAACCGTACATTTGCCATACTGACTTGCGAATGGTGGATTTCCAATTTGCAAATTAGCGACACAAAATTTAATATATCATAAAACTCACAACTAATTTTAATAAATGAAAACAAACACAAAGTACTTTTTTCTAAAGTAAAACCAGAGACATATAACTGAATTATATGTCTCTGGTCAAACTAAGTAAATACAGGGTGCACTTTGCCGCTGTCTAATAAATGAAGAAAAAAAATATTATTTTGAATTCATATTGCAAAATTAATTTGATTTTAAACTAGTTTTTGTTAAAGTACGGTATTTTTGTATATATTGTGTTGCTTATTTGTAGTATGTTTCATATTTAATATAACAAAATAATTAACAAAAAAGTTCTCATAAAAATTCACAATTAAAATAGTTTTTTTACTTTAATTTTTTCTAAAGTATTATATATAATATATATATATATATTTTTTTCTGAAGTACTATATATAATATATAAGTGTACAATTTTAGAATTCTTGTCTATTTTATTATTATTAATTTAGTATTTAATTCAACACAATTTTGATAGTATAAAGTGTTCTATTTTATAATTTTTGTCTTTTTGTCTTTTTTTTATCATTAAATTCATTTTACTACAACACTAGTTTGCAAATACTTTATTTTTGTTTCTAATTTTTAAAAGAGTAATATTTAATGCTAAAATATACTGATTGTATTTTACCTGTTATTAATTGATAATTGTTATAACAACACCTATTGTATTTTGTTTGTAGGCATAGGTTGAATATATATTTATCAAATGTTGGCATAGGTTGGACACACCATTCTTCCATAGATATAAAGATTTGGTTTTGAAGTTTGGTTGTATCTGTCGAAAACTTATTTCAAACGGGATATTACATCCTCATTTTGATGGAGATGTTGTTTACCGTGCCCGGAAATTTAGAAACGATCCTAGTAAACCTATCTATTCTTTAAATAAACTTATTCTAAAAGGTTACCAATTCAACACTGTCATTAATTTAGATCTTTGAATATTGTTTTTATTGGCATTAATATTGATTTTGTTATCAGTAAATTAAAGGCAAACTAAATATTATTGTTATATACATATGCACTTTCATGGATCTACAATCTGTCGATTCCTGTATCTTGGCATTGCACAAGGTCATGTATTTCTCTGACTGTTTATGACGTCTTTACACTAAATCCGTTGGATGATGGATGTGAACTGATTGATAATTTAGTCTTAGATGCATGATTTTTTATTAGTTGTTATTGTCTTTGCTCCTTATTAAAGGCCGTACGGTGACCAATGGCTGTTAACTTCTGTGTCATTTGGTCTCTTGTTGAGAGTTGTCTCATTGGCAATCATACCTCATCTTCTTTTTTATATACAGTTGCTTAGCATTTGGTCATACAGAAATAACGTATCTATAGGTATGATTATATAGGTCACCGTACGGTCTTCAACAAAAAAATGAACGAAAAACAAATATGTAACACAGCAACAAACGACAACCACTGAATTACAGGCTAGGCATATACATACAGAATGTGGCGGGGTTAAACGTGTTAGTGGGATCCCCCTAACCTTGGACAGTGGTGTAACAGTACAACATAAGAACGAACTATAAAAATCAGTTGAAAAAGGCTTAACCCATCAGCTGGATACAAATAGAAATACATATAACAGAAACACGTGGACGTGACCGGGTACTTTTACATCCCAATAACAAAAATACACTATGTACAGGTCTCAGAGTACTCGCAGTTACTGACAGTTAGTTCAAACTCAATAACATGTTCGTTTTATAGCATGAAAACAAAAAAGAAATGTGAAACCTATCATAAATTATTATTATTATAACCTAGGATATGATTGTATTCGTTAGTGTGAAAGAAGATTAAAAGTGGCACATGTATTTATCCTAAATATTTTCATAATCCGGTACATAATCCTGTACATGATCTGGTACATCCAGTGTTCTGGCATACATTACTAAATAAAAAAAATATCACAAGTATATTTTTTCGACCTCACTATTTGAAAATCAGGCGAGATCTCGACACAGCATAACAAAAAACAACATTTATTTAATTCTTTTTACGTTCGTAGTAACATAGTACATTCCATTGTCTGTCACCTGTGTCAATTCACGTGCACACTTTGATTGTTGTAACTGTATTTTAATCTTTTTGCCAATGAAATGAGACGTTACAATTGTTTGTTTGTGATACGCCAGAGTATTGTCAATGAATTATCAAACGCTAAACTTGACTGCAGTTCAGTGTAAACGATAAAGTTAATGGGGAACTACATCTTTTCCCAAATGTATCACACTTTAAAATCGATAATAAAGAAACTAAGATCCCAACTCCCTTAGGCAAAGTTGACCTTAGATGGGCTTGCCTAGTTCTTAGGTTCTTTTTTGTCTGATAGCTCTTCAGCAGTTTCGGTTGTTATACATTATTGGCTTTCAAATATTGTGCTTTGAGCGTCCCTGATAAAGGCAGGAACAAATATATATAGATATACTGTTCCCAGATAAAGGTAAATCCAGAAAACCGCTTCGGACGCATGAGATTTATAACGTGTCTCCTTTTCGTTTTTGACGTTGCGAATCGTAAGCTTTTATATGCTATTAACACTTAGTAGTTTTAAATGTAGCACGGTTAAACATCAGTCTGCTTGGATTAGTAACCTTCTATTTATCATTTCGAAACTACATGTATTTCACACATGCAATTATAGAACAGTGGCGGATCCAGAACTTTTTATAAGGGGGACCCACTGACTGACCTAAGGCCCCCAGCACCCCCCCCCCCCTGGATCAGCATAAGTAGAAAGAAAAAAACGCGAGAATATTCAGCTACATTTTTGTACTTTGAATTTTCTGTTAACCTGTACAAATATAACGTGACTTTGTTTCTACATGCGTTCCATAGGTATTATTACGTGGTTATCGACCTTTGATTCCTTTCAGTGCAGTTTAAAGTTCCGAAAATTACTTTTCTTGATTTGATACTGTGAAGATATCGTGAGTAGATAATGTTTTTTAATTTATTAACTAAAATCGATGTAAATTTTTACACATAAACATGCAAAACAAGAATACTCAATAAGATTGCAGATGGTCACATTGCGTCTATGGAACGCACTCTAAATACTATTTGTATACATTTATACTGCACTCCTTCTATTAAAGCAGTCAAAATGCGTTGACTGTATATTTCTATGTCATATACAGTCACTGACCCGATATCACTTTTCCTCGTGAATATTTAAATAGTAGTTGCCGGAACTATATTTAATTATTCATACGACCTCTTCAACCTGTCCTTGTTTCCAATGTATACAACGAAGCGTGGAACGACTCAAACTTATTTCTTTTACAATTGTTGGAAAAACATATTTCACTTGTTAATATTTTTTGTTTAAAACCTATAAATCATTATGTTTTATGCTTATTGTTGATATTTTAATCCATACTGAAACGAATTCGTTCAACATCGATTGGTTTCAATAGGTAACATTTCATTGAGTTGTATATTTCTCCGCTAGATATGAGGCCTTTTTAAAGGGGGTTTTCCCAACATTAAAATCAAATACTAGTTAATAACAATAACACGATAAACAACAATTGAAAATGTTTTTTTCTCTAGATTGCAGTATAAAGACAATAATAATGTATTGACTTGACATACCAACGATATAAGGATTCGGCCCGAAACGGGGGAAAAGCTCGGCATGCAGAGCCTCGCATTTCCCCGTTTCTAAGCCTCGTCCTTATATCGTTGCTATGTCAAGTCAACATGGTCAATAGACTATTATTGTCTATATAATACATGTTACCTCAATTTTGTTTTCTTTGATATTTAAGCCATGTTTGAATTCTTTATATTTTTGCCCATATTCTTTATTTTTTAAATTTTTGCCCATTATTCTCTATTCTTTATATCTTTGCCCATTATTCTCTATTCTTTATATTTAACACCCCATTTTTCTTTATTCTATTTTTTGGGGGCCTTTTTTTCTATATTCCTATTTGTATGGCCCCTTATTCTCTATTCTGTAAACACCATACCTGTTGTAGACATGTCAACATATTTTGTTCCGCCTAACAGAAGTTACGCTTAAAAATTTGTTTAATATAAACAATGTCATAATACCTCAGGGGGGATCCAGCCATTTTTAAAAGGGGGGTTCCCAACCCAGGATAAAAGGGGGGGGGGGGGTCCAACTAATTGTTCCCATTCAAATGCATTGATCGTCCAAAAAAGGAGCGATCCCAGGAACCACCCCCCCCCCCCCCTGTACCTGTTCCTGTTGGAACAAATATTCTACACCATTTATTCAGTTTTAAGCTCACCTGGCCCAAAAGGGCCAAGTTAACTGTTCTCATCACTTGGCGTCCGTCGTCCGTCGTCCGTCGTCTGTCGTCGTTCTTTATAACTTTTACAAAAATCTCCTCTGAAACTACTGGGTCAAATTTTTCCAAACTTGGCCTTAATCATCCTTAGGGTATCTAGTTTAAATAAAATGTATCCGATGACCCTGCAAAACAAGATGGCCGCCATGGCTAAAAATAGAACATTGGGGTAAAATGCAATTTTTGGCTTACATCTCTGAAACTAAAGCATTTAGAGCAAATCTGACATGTGGTAAAAATGTTCATCAGGTCAAGATCTATCTGCCCTGAAATTTTCAGACCCACCAGGTAACCTGTTGTTGGGTTGCTGTCCCTGAATTGGTAATTTTAAGTAAATTTTGCAGTTTTTGGTTATTATCTTGAATATTATAATAGATGGAGATAAATTGTATACATCAATAATGTTCAGCAAAGTCAGATCTACAAATAAGTCAACATGACCAAAATTGTCAATTGACCCCTTAAGGAGTTATTGCCCTTTATAGTCAATTTTCACAACATTTCGTAAATTTTGTAATCTTTTACACAGATGAGTAGACTGTGACTCTTTATAGGAGTAATTGCCTTTAAATGAGGATTTTTTGTATCCTCTTTTGTGTCCTTTGTTGAATATGCACATAGACCAAGGTGAGCGACACAGACTCTTTAGAGCCTCTAGTTCCATTTGTAACTAAAATTACGAAGGAACTTCTATTTCGTGACAGACCCTCATATATGGTAGGTACTTCATCGTCAGTTTGAGTAAATAACTAAGGGGGAAATGGGACTGTTCAATTTTTGTTGTAGCCGGTATCGTAATAATGAAACCTTATGTAAGCAACTTCTCTGTCAGAGCCCGTTTTACAGAAACCTCTTAATTGATTGTTATCATGTATATATTTTAGGGATGTCAACGAGTACTCCAGTACCGCTCGGTAGTACCGAGTATCGATTACCAAAATGATACTCGACTAATCGGTTTCCTGTTAGAATGTTGTTGCTTTTTAAGTTTAAAAAAAAAACATATTTTTATTGAGAGCGCCTCCCGGGAAATTATAAATTAATCAAAATTAATAAAAAAAAATAAATATGATTCGAATGTTTGTGTTTAACTGTCATTAAAATTCCTCCAAACAGAGGTACATGTGGGATGTATGAATAACAGCAATTTTCCAAGGCTTACACTTTTAACTAATCTTAGGAACTCCCCCACCTCTGTACCGGCAGAGCATATATTTTCATCAGCAGGACTGTTATTACCTAACAAATTTGAGAAATTGCTACGTCCCAGAAAAAGTTGACAAGATAATATTTTTAAATAAGAAATATACTGTCCTTTATATTTAGGTCATTTTAACAAAGCAAAATATAAAGAAAACGTGAACTAAATGTAATGTTTCTGTATTGAGAGAGTTTATCAGGAAATTGAATTCTTTTTTTGCAGAATAAACCCACTAAGTAACATACATTTATAATTCGACTTTGAATGCAAACGACCTCTAAATGGCTAAAAGATATTGGTATATAGAATAGTCCATGACGATTTTTGTCGAAAAAGCGAGACATAGCGATCCTACTCCCTCTGTGGTTAAAGTTTTTGACATTTTAATAACTTTCTTAAACTATCCTGGATTTCTACAAAACTTGGACAGAAGCTTGTTTATGATCATAAGATAATATCAAAAGTAAATTTTGTAAAAAAAAAATCCATTTTTTCCGTATTTTACTTATATATATATAAATGGACTTAGTTTTTCTGCCAGGAAACATTACATTCACTCTGTGGTTAAAGTTTTTGAAATTTTATTAACTTTCTTAAACTATCCTGGATTTCTACCAAACTTGGAAAGAAGCTTGTTTATGATCACAAGATAGTATCCAGAAGTAAATTTTGTAAAAAAAAAATTCCATTTTTTCCGTATTTTACTTACAAATGGACTTAGTTTTTCTGCCAGTTAACATTACATTCACTCTGTGGTTAAAGTTTTTAAAATTTTAACAACTTTCTTTAAACTATCCTTGATTTGTACCACACTTGGACAGAAGCTTGTTTATGATCAAAAGCTAGTATCTAGAAGGAAATTTTGATAAAATTTTGTTCCATTTTTTCCGTATTTTACTTATTAATGGACTTAGTTTTTCTTCCAGTCAACATTACATACATTCTGCAGTTAAAGTTTTTAAAACATTTATTAGATTCATAAATTATCCTGGATTTTTACCAAACTTGGACAGAAGCTACTTACAATCAAAAGATAGTATAGAGAGGAATATTTTTATTAATTTTTTTCCTCATTTTTGATGAGCCTGCGATTAACAGCAAAAGTAGGCGAGACACTGGGTTCCGCGGAACCCTTACGAATTTTTGTTAAGAGTTCACGAAATGTACACCAATTCTGTTGATTTCGAAGGCCCAGCTGAACGGACTAGAATAAGATTAGATATAAATACATAAAGGTCTTTTCAACAGTTGTAGTGTAAATCAGTTGTAATTTTTGGTTGACATATATATATACATATAAGTATAGATTATCGGCTTTTCTACACATTGATATTTTTCGATATCTATACGAAAAAGACCAGATTATCTGTTTATCGTTCTATTGCTGGACTTTTTTTACCTCCCGTAGACAGTTTTTACGCTAGACGAAAGCAAGCTTGATAACGTCTCCTCACACACCGTGACGTCGATCCCTGATAACTTTTGGTTGATATATATATATATAGAGATTATCAGCTTTTCTACACATTGATATCGTAAAATATCAGCCAGCGAGCCACAATGAACCTTTTTGGCAAGTGAGCACAGCGAATGAATCACATTGTGTAGATTGGCTAATATTTAACGATATCTATATACCAAACCCAGATTATACATGTATCTGTTTATCATTATATTTCTAGCTTTTTCACCTCCCTCAGACAGTTTTTACGCTAGGCGAAAGCAAGCTTGATAATGTCTCCTCACACATTGTGACATCTCTGAGAACTTCTACCAGACATTATGACATTGCTGATAATGCTTGCTCTCATCTCAAGCCGTGATACGAGAATTACGGAGCGACTGAGCAGGGTGACGTACATGTAGGAAAGGACGATAAGATGGGATATGCAGTACCAGAGACATATAATATATAATACAAGTGTATTATATGTCTCTGGCAGTACATAATTTTGAGAAAGTGTACATCTATACTTCAGTTTGACTAGACTAGAGACTTCATGTGTACAAACCTGACGTCAAACTATATACTATAGAAGAAGAGACAAATAATATCACATTAAAGCCTGTCACATTACATCTAAAATTAACAATAATCCAAAGTCAATTATATTACGATGTCAATGGAAGAAATTCCCGCGCAAATGTCATAACTGTGTTAAACGGGATAGACCAAAACAAATTTCAGGTCTATGTTGTCATTCACATTCCGATCAATTTATATATGTTAACTATATTTATATTGGTTTTGAATTTAGTTACCCTATATATCAGAAAAAATATTTATTTCTCGCAGACAACGCTTTATGTACATCAACTCGACACTGAAGCTAATAACCCCTAAAACATTATGGTATATGGAATCATCCTTTTAAACTGATTTCCTGATAAAGGTGAAATATGTAGT